TTTTTTTTTTTTTTTTTTTTTTTTTTTTTTTTTATTATTATTATTTTCTTCTCGTACTTTACAATTCGATGAGCTTTCAGGCAACATGCTATCGAGTCAATGCATAATTTCTCAAAATTGCTTTCCCACTTCAGATTTTTTTTTCTTTCTCGCCGAGGTACTCTGCGATAGTGGATCCTGGAGAAATTGCATTGAAAAGAGGAGCTGAAATTGATGCTTCCTGACTCGCTGACTCGTAAATTCAAACTTGGCCCAGGATCCATGGTTTATGCAGTGAAATGGAAACCACGCGAATGAGAATCGCCCGTGCTTGCCAACTGCGGCATCGGAACATACTACTGCTGTTGTGAATTAACGAACTGATCTGATTACGGCAGAACGTTCCCTCTTCCTTCGCCTCTGCAAAATGGAAGGATGGATGTTACTTGAAGCAAGTAACTCCGTATACTGGTACGCCAACCATGATTTAGACTGCAGGATAGGCGATGATATGCGCCCGCCGGAGCCCGTCTGTCAAGTTAGCATGGAAGTGACGCGGTTGGAAGGCAAAGCCCCGAATAAGATGTTGAGATGGCGACGTTTCTTGTCGATCACGCGGGAACTCCTTACAGGGGATCTGCAATGGCACTAAACCGGGGATAGACGATAGATGGAGGATATATCCACTTCCTGGGAAACTTGCAGCTCAGGCCCCGTCTTTCTCGCGACGACCGTTGAAAATCGATGCTAGTCAAGCGATGGCAGTTGCCTTTTTGTTCTTTGAAACAGTCAGACTGAAATTGCAGATGATCTTGACAAGCTGGTAGCGAAGGGGCGGAATGTGGATGACAATTTGTGCCTTAGTACTTAGTAATGGTGGGCCTTTCCACTAAGTACAATCTCCGCATGCACCACCACCGAGTCAAACCGCGCCCGCGACTTATCAGCCGGCCTGATGTACCGTCCTCATCATCCGTCCATCTAGATAACCATTTGGGCCTGTGTGGTTTTGGGCCGTAGCTTACACACCCAACACGTGCGATAGACATTGACCCAACCTAATGGAAACTGTATGTAGGCGGTCACTCTCTGAGTGAGACCAGTCAGGCAGGGTTGCTCACCGACAGTCGCAAGTAGGTTGGAATACGGCGGATGGGATCCCTTGTGGCTAAGCTATTGAATCTTTTGCGCTCTCCTCGCTTCGCCATCTTTACGTTTAGCAAATCTTCATAGTTTCAGCTTGCATGCTTATTGATTATATACGAAGTATAAGTACGCTAAGCCCGCGATTGTCGTGTTGTTTTGGAGGGTAGGCACTGCCGAAATATATGCAACTAGGATTCGAGTGCATTGACCGATTCCAGAACCCCCCGAAGAATATAGCGCATATTTACCGACCTGCGGCATCAATATTCTGTAGGACTAGTGAGAAGTATAGTAGAAAAGAGCTTTTCACTTTCTCTTTTATGTGCTAACGGGCACCGTTGCTCGACCAGGTTAATCCTCCGTCGTGTTGTTTCAGTAATCTTCAGTTGTAAGCACAATCACCAAGATCCATCATCATGATGATATATCTTCAAAGCGGGGAGAAACCGCAAACCGTGTCACTGGAAGCAAACTGGTATGTCAAATACTGGGCATTGCATTGCACTGCATCAATAGTCCAAATTCTAATCTGAAGATTGACTGTACATCAGTCTCGTTTGCAATTGACCCGGCATCTCAGATCACTCAGATCCAATTCAAGTCTATTGCGCTCTCCCCGCGCACCCAACTGGGACACACACATTTCTTTTCTTGGCTATAGCTTGTAGCTGACAAACAGGTGGCCATAGGGTTTGAGGATCCAGCACAACATATCCTCCGCACTGCTGTAGATGGATTCTGAATCGGTCTCAGGGAAGAGAAAATGCGTTATCAGTCTCGAGTATCATCGCTGACATCATTTACACAACCGTAGTAAGAGAGTGAATAAGGTTCTCATCCATTGATTCGGGAGTCTGAACCTTCCCATGGTACACGACCGGGAGTGTGAGAGTGTGTTGTGTCGGAGGCTGCGACAAAACTCCGTGGATACCGGTCACTTCAACTTCACGGCATTGAGGGGGACACGGACCGTGGCTATCGATTAGGTTACTCTTGGTGGAACAATCTGAACCGCGGAATCCCTCACGGGAGGCTTCCACTGGTTGGTTAGAGATCAGCATTCCCTGAGTCGGGACATGGCCAGGAGAGTTTTCCTGTCACTGGTAATGTAGGAAAATAAAAGATTAAATCATTAGTCTGATACATGTACTCCATACACGGTCCATAGAAACTATTAGTCTAGGTAGGGTTGGGAAATTGGGGATTGGCAAATCCCCCTCATTGTTTCGTCATGCTTTGTGCGTTGGGCAAAGAATCTGGGGTGGGCGATAATCCTGGCTAAGATCATTGCAGGATAATCGTCGAAAATCTTGACTCGTTTCATCAGGAGACTCGAGAAGAGACTGGAGTTTGGTAGAATCAACTTGGCAACCTTTTTGTTGTTAGTCTTAGCATCGCGTTATCCTTGGATAAGAAGGATAATAATAATGACATTAATCGGTATTATTTGCAGACGCGATCGCCTAGTCATCCGTGGTGCCAGCGGCCGAGGTACCGATGTTAGTTACCTAGCGACTGTTACTACTACTTAAGTAGTCAAATAATACAAAAGTAACTACTAGTACTGTGGTATAGTGTTAGCTAAGTGCTACTAGTTACTAGCTCTCTCCAGGCTGTTTCTCCGAGCTTCCGTGCTTGGGTTCAGTTCCTTGGAGGTAGACTCCATTTGGTAGTCATGGCGTGACAGCTAAGAAATTTAGCAGGCGTGTGGTCGCAAATCAGCTTCCAATTTGCTCGTCCGATTGGACTATTCAGGTTACTAGACAGTACTAATTGGTTCCAGTTGATTATGGTCTTATGCATTCAGCACGTTCTGTTGTTCTTCAGTAATTAATACTCTCTGGGTATCAATTATCGATTTCTGCCGCACACCAAAGATCTGAAGAAAGCACTGCACTGAACTCCCAAAAAAGTAAAGAATAAAAGATAAAAAAGAAAGGAAGAAAAAAAGAAAAGAGATAAGGAGGCGGCTCTCTAGTTCTCTACTATTGCGCGTACTCGGCAGTTAATCACTAATACCAACCATTACAGAGATCTGGTAATGTAAGTAGGAGGAGGATGTCCAGCTACTTTCTTTACTACTACGTACTCTCCGTGTCGGAGGGCCAAATCCCCCACAACGAACATCTCCTATCAAACGAGGGAAGATGGGCCGATGAGGCGGATGCAAAGACATCTTCAGTCAGTCAGACCCGCACATCGTTTATCCAAGTTCTCAAGTAGCGTCGCCTTCGATTACCTCGCAAGGATGGAGCCGGGTTTGGCCATTGTAGGGGGGGAATGGTTGACCCGCTCCTAACGTAATATGGAGGTATTATTGGGGACGAATCGTATGTGCGGTACGATGGTTACCGAATGGCAACAACGGCCGCAGAACTACAACCCGCTAGTTTCCCAGCCTAACTTTAGTACCAGTTACCAATATGGAACCGGACTTACCGTACAGCCCCAAAGGTGTCTTAGTCTCACCCGCCTAGCTGGTCGAATCAGAGTGGTTGACTGATGCAGAAGGGAGAAAAAGAGAAAAGAAAGAGTGGAAAGAGATTCAGGAGACGTTCGAACATTTAATCTACCTGATAATATTAGCTTCGATGATACGATAAGTGAAGGGAGGGTCACCCTCTCGAACCGAGCAAGAATGCTCGTTTACCATAAACCCCCTCATTCCTTGTCTTTCGATAATAGTATGATGGAAGATATGATTATGGCGATTTCTCCTTGTATTTTCTGGTATGACTGGCAGCTGCAATAAGAGTCATCGTAGAATACCTCGCCCCTACTTGGATGTGAGCTTTTTGAGGTCAGATCAGAGTCTCCAAAAGATTTTCTTTCCTTATGCGTAAGTTGCATACTACGTCCATACGATACACTTCCATCGGGTTTCCCCTCGTGGATTTTTAATCGGGCGGCCCCCCCAAATTGATCTCTTTACTTTTTTTCTGCTCCTTGTCGGTTCAACGAACTTAAATTGAACAAGAAAGCGAACGTGAGAAAGGCGAACAAAATAGAAAAAGAACTAAATACACATGGACGATTTTTAAGGATCATCACTGGATTAAACAAAAAGCGACTTACGAAGGAAAGAAGAAAAAAGAATAAAAAAAAATTAAAAAGAAAAGTAATAAATCAAGAAATACTAACCAAAGAATCGAAAAGTAAAAAGGAAATACAGGGCACGGTTCGGGAGGGTGTGTGCCTGGCGTTCCTTCTCGCGTTCTCTGGAAAATCCCGTCCGCTTGTCTCCGCCTGTCAAGTCAGTCGGTCTCCCCTAAAGCTGAGAGCGAAAGAGAGAGAGAGTGAGAAAGTTGTAGTCGCAGCATCCCATCATTCCCTCCCCTCTCTCTCTCAACTCTCCCCCATTATCTCTCCCTCCTCCCTATTCTATTCCCTTTCCCCTTCTACTCCCTCCCACACCTTCAGCCCCTCTTGCTCTTCTTCCCTTTTTTTCCTTTCCCGACCCATCCTCTCTGCTTTTCTTTTCCCATCCTTTCCGGCTCTCACCATCCCTCCCTCCTCCCCTCCCCCCTGAGCGGCCCGTCTTCTGCTTGATTCAGAAGACAAGGTGCCTAGGATCTGGTTATCGTTTCCTTCTCGATCTCCTATTTGATTTTGGCATTGTTCCCTTCTTGTCTCTATTCAACATTGTTTGTTAGCTCTGCTTTTCCCCTCTTCTCTTTTCTTTTCTTGTACATGGCTCGACCGCTCTAGACAGCTTCTGCCATCCCTGGAGCCTTGTGTTCCGCACGTCGTACCTCGTCGCCAGCTCTCCTCCCTCTTCGATCGCCTGATCCCGAGCCTTTCGTTTCTTTTGTCCTCGTCAGCATTCGTTTTTTACATCGACAGAACGCTTTTCTTTAATTGTTGTATCAGTATAATTCGGTGGGGACATATTTCCTGCGAAACAGGTACGACCCCATTCCGCCGCTTGCCTTTGCACACACCCCCCTTTCGAAACGGCAACCACATTCGCGTTGGAGAAACATCGGTCCTCGAGAGTTCAACTAGCCTTTGAGCCGGCTTGTTCTTGTGCAATCCTGACTGACAACTGTGTGTAGTACAGACATTCCCCCTGTTGCCTTCTTACAATCTGTCTCCTTTTTCTACCCTTGTTACCTCTCCAGACTTGATCGACGTTAGGCTTGGTTCATTTAGATTGGGCGCTGCGGACAGTCGACGAGCTTACCTGTCGACACATCTCTCCCCGGAGACGCTGTCAGCTACGCGTCGGATGTTATTTCGTTCCGGGTAGTGGAGGAGAACACCATGGCTGCGTTGGTACAGACAATCCCCCAGCAAAGTGGCACGGTTTCTGTGCTTCAAACCCGACCATCCTCTTCTTCGGGCACCTTCACAACTTCCTCGCAACCCGGGCAACAACAAAATCCGCGGAACTCGACGATGTCCTGGAACCCCTATAACAACAACGGCAGTTCGGGAAACTACAGAGTGGGCCACCAGGTCGTGGCCCCCTACGCCTTCACCAGCACCCCAAGCCCCTCGAATTCAACCAACATGCAAGCCCGTCAGTCACTGTCCCCTCATCTGAGGCCAGAGCATCGCACATCTTCAGCCCCTTCGGTGCCTCAGGGGCCTGCAAGTCCCGTCAACGCCGGAGTCAACTCGCGTTTCGCCCATCCTGCAGCTGGTTCTGTATCCACTTCTTCCTCCAATTCCTCCGTCCACTCCTACATGTCGAAAGACGACTCGGCGATCCCAACTAGACAAATACGTACCGATGCTCCCTTGCGCCCGCTCTCCACAGTTAACCTTCCTTCACCCTCCTCTTCGAATTTCATGAACATATCCTCACCAACTGTGGCCCGTCCGTCCCCCGACCGCTATCGTCGTGGAAACCGGCGACCGGAAAATGCTGCGGGCACCCAGCCTGCTTCCACGCAGCCTAACGGACCGGCACCTGCACGTTCTGCAACGTTAGCCACCGACGACAGTGCTCTCCACATGAGTACTCCCAGCCTTGCGGGTGTGTCTCTGGATGCCCCCCGCCGCATTGGGCATGTCCGCGTGCCCAGTGCCGATGATACTACGCGCGCAGATAAGCCTCAGACAGAGTTAGCCAAGAGGTATAGGCGCCGGAGCTGGGGAAACATTGATAACGCTGGTCTCATCAATATGCAGCTACACTTGCCCACATCATCGCCGACGCCGACAGCAGGTGGCCATGACTACTTCGATCAGAGTACGCGGCCCCGATCGGCACAGTCTCATAAAGAAGTCCAGGGAAGCATTCCGTCCGCCCATTCTTCGACTTCATCTGTACGTGATGCAGGACACAGCGAATCTGCATCATCCTCCAGTAAGAGTGGTCCCAAGACCGATGACAGCAAGCGACCGAACAAACCCTCACCGCTGTCTCAGCCGGTCGAGGTTGACTCTAAGCCCCCGACTCCCAAAGCATCCCAGCCTTCCACAACGCCAAACCCTGCTCCCACGGAGAGCCTCGCTTCCCAGCGTCTTGCCGAAATAACAAAGGGCGACCCTAAGCGACCAGGGAAATCCAGGCTGAGGAGGGCATTTTCGTTCGGTAGCGCATCAGAGCTCCTCAAAGCTTCCTCGCAAAACAAAAGGGAAGCGATGGCTGCGGAGAGGGCTCGCAGGGAATTGCTGCAAGAGGAATTGGGTCCAGAACAGGCAGCCATAGCCGAACAACAGGAAGCAAGCGGCCTGGGCGAGAGCATTTACTCCTCACATCACCAAGGTCGTATATTCAATAGCTCCACCGACAACCTTTCCGTTTCATCGACAGCCTCCTCCGCCTCTATTATGCTTCGCAAGATGGGCAAGGGAATGAAACGATCGACGCGATCATTGGTGGGGCTTTTCCGCCCGAAATCGGTAGTGAGCACATCTTCGACCGATGGTGTAATGATTGAGCCCATGGCTCCCCAGCTGTCCGTGGTCAACATTGAAGCGGAGAGGAAAAGCACAGCCGTCACCTCTGACTCGCAAGACCATCCTCTTGGTAACACGTTGTTTTCTAAGGTGGAAACCGATGCAGCGAACGCCGTGAGCCATGAAGATGCCGCCCTGGACAAGTCGCGTAAAAGCATTGTCGGAGGAGACAGGGAGCGAGCGGAGGTTCTGGCAGCCGTGCGGAAGGGCATACTGAAGAGTACGTCCTGGTTACCATGAAATGATTCTTACTTGTGATATGTCTCGTACTAACGTTCCATTTAGAGACCTACTCGGACCCGGCTAACCAGACATATGTGCTCAAATCGTCTGAAAACTTGAACGGCAATGACTCGCCGCATTCTAGCGTTCCCAGCACTCCTGAAGACCAGACACGGTCAGGCAATCGGCGAACCGACGCGGTTAAAATTGCCGGCGAGGATGATTATCTCTCAGAAGGGCGGTTCCAGACCTCTGAATCGAAGAGCGCGCCTATTACCCCACAAGCTGTGATGCCGAAAAGTCTGGTGTTCAGTCCCCGGATCCAGTTCCATGAGACATGGCCAAGCGGGGAGTACGATCGACGTGGTGACATCGCCACGTGCAACCGGTTGACTCCCCTCCTTGCCCAACAAATCAAGGAGGAACTGAACAATTTCAAAATGGTGAGGAACTCGTCCCTAACCGCCCCCTTTCTAAGTGAAGTCGATCGAGTGCTAATTATTTCGCAGGAGATGGAGGTCCACGAGACGTCAAAAATCTATACTCACTTTCTCTGAGCCGCTGCATTTCGAATGGCGTTCTTATTGCGTGTCTTGTGTTATTTACCCTTAGGAGGAGTGTTGGATCTATCAACGGCATGGTATTGAGCCTTGGTGGCTTCTAGACCTGTTTCCTTTTCGCTAGAGAGTCTTTTGGTTTCCGTCTTCAGTCCCATGCTGACTCGGTATCTAATTGTCCGTCGAGTGTACGGACGTGACCGGGTCGCCCCTTTGTTGTGTTTCTTTTTGCTATGCGTTCTGGGAGTTATGGCGACAGCAACATTCAGGTCTTGGTCTTGTGTCGTGTTCTTTCGTTATTCTGCGCACGGAGATTTATGGGGATTCTACTACAGCAAATGAAGAATAGTGGATCGGCTAAGGGAGGCATCGCCTATGACCCGGTTCCGGATCATTTGGCTTCGATCTACGTCGCACCCAGGATTTGGGCACCGATTTACTTTTTGCGCTTCCTTTCTCCCTCGGCGGCCTGTCACAGCTCGTGCTTTTCGCTTCCTCTTTAATCGTCTTCCTTTCTCCCTCGAGCCCCGATTCCTGGCCGACCATTGCATGCAATCCACACCGTCTCTTTGAAGTCTCGTTTTGTTCTGCAAGCGTGAAAATTGGGCAGCATCTCTTTGCACATTGTCTCATAGTGTTCATTGTGAAACGTTCTTTTGCTGTTTTCTATTTCCTGCAAGCACCGATCCTTTTTATCGACGTGTTGTCCGTGTACAGCTTTCTGAGACCGGTACACAAGTGAATGTCCCGCAGCATCATCATCCATCATCAAAGCATTGACTGGCAATATCAATGCAATTTTTTTTTTCTTCTCTGCCCGACCTTACGCAACGCTTCCTTGGGACTACATACAGCTGGATTCTATAGTTTGAGGAGAATTGTCTGGCAAGTCAGCAGACATCGGTCGTAGGTCGTAGAAGTGTATCCCGATGAAATCGAAACCGCGTAGCCCTCGAGCCTCTGAACAATTCCATTATGATCTGACTCTGTCAGACAGAGGGAGAGGGATGGAGGGAGACAGTGTAATTCTGCTTCAGACCATAGCCGCCGTATTATTTCTTCAAAAAATGAAGTAAAACAAAGGAAGAAAGAAAACAAAAAAGAAAGTAAACCCAGAAGGAGACGACAGCGACAGCCACTTGATAAATAAGGCCTTCAGGCGAGAGATGGAAGGAAAGGTAGGTAGGTAACTAATTAACTAAGTGACTAACCCCCACGCTTTCATCTACAACGGAAAGCGTATGAGTGGATGAACATGCAAACCCGGCCCCGGTCCCGATAATACCACGCGAGAGATCCCGAGGGTAAAAGCCAATGGGACGAGAATGAATAATCGGGAAGAAAGGGAAATGGAAAAAAACAAAAAGTAAAAATAAGAAAGAAAAAGAAAAGTCTCTGCGGCATCAGCTGCCACATGTTGTTGCCGGGGTTCAGGTTTAGTTAGTTAGGGGGAAACACATGCTTGGCAAATCGAGTATTTTGCCGAGGGGTGGACCTGGGGATGATGATGATGACCTTCTTCTGCTTTGTTGGGTAACTTTGCTTGGCTATTCGGGTGGAATTTTAGTTTGAAGAGATAATTATGTGCGGAGTAGTAGAGTATCTATTCGGTTGGGTTGGATTGGGAGGAGTAGGAGGTATCCGGGTGAAAAGTAGATAGATGTAGACTCGGCTGCTACTAATAGATAGACTTGTTATGGGATCCCGATGGATGGATGGTGGATGGATCAGGTACATACGACGTAGCTACTGCTTGGTTGTTCCAACCGGGTAGTAGTACTTTTGTGAACCATGGGTTGGCTGGTTACTGCTTACAGTACCTTCATGGCCTGATCTCTCTTTCTGCGTGCGTGTGGCGTTGGGGAATGAGTTTTCTCCATTATTTTCCTCCTTCGGGGGCGGGGAGCAGACGGGGGGCCGAATAGATGATCTAGCCGGCATGTGCGATATATGCCCGTGTCGCTAAGCCAGCAAGGAAGTAATTTCTCTTTCCCGATGGCCATGGCCTCTTCTCGATGAATGTCGGGTCCATCCGCCGGTAGACTCTCCAACCTACCATCGATGACGAAGCTGGTCTTTTTTCGCTGACTGACTTGATGATCAATCAAACCAGCGGTGACTCTCGTGCGTGAAGGAAGGGGAAGAGGGGGTGGTATTCCCGTATGACCAATTAATATCCACCATGGTGGAGTTGCATCCATCCATCCATCAGGTAAGTACGGAGTATATGATTGATGATTGATCCTTTGGGGAAAATACCGGTTGAAGCCAGAGCCGGGGTTGAGGGTAGGGATCTTCCGCCTGGGGTCGACACCGTGAGAGCGAGCTTTTTTTCTGTTTTTTTTTTTCGGGCCGGTGTTCCTTGGCACCGTCCAAGTTGGTTTAAGTTTTTCTCGGGGAATTGGCTCGGTCTGGGGTTGAGGATTGCGGGATGGATGACTGTAGATTGCCTTGCAGGTTTCTTGTTACTCAAGAAATTGTAGACATTTTGAGTTTAAAAATGCAGAAAGTCTTGTTTGCAAAGAGTAGGTAGGAATTAGATCTTACCCGATGGATAAATGTATCTCTTCTTTCCTCGGGGAGTTGAGATGAAGAAGAGATGCAGAGGTGTGTCTTGTGGAGTGAAGAGAAAGAGAAAAGTGGAGAGAGGAAGAGGACCCTCGCTCGGGAACCCCCACGGACTGTTGCTGATGGCCTCCCACGCTCTTCTCTTCCCTCTCTCTCTCTCTGTGTGTGTCTACTCCATACTACAGCAACATCATCATCATTATTATCTTCTTCTTCTTATTTCACCCCCACGCCAGTCGGCCCTCTCCACAAATGGCATCCCACCAGTCCCGACAGTTTCCCCTAATGATCCTGATCTCATCTCCAGACTCTCTCCCCGCTTCCGTCTTCCCCATTGGCGGGGTTGGCTGTTTCTAGTCTTCTACCATGTCTTCATTCCCGATCTCCATTGCCATTGCGGCTTCTCTTCCCCGTCTGTCTCTCCATCCTTCGGGAACCTCGTCGGGTCGTCATCGCTCGGTTCTCTAACTCTCTGGCCACATCAAAAAGCTCCCCTGGTCCCGACTGCAGCTGGCACTATGGTCCCGTGGTTTACTCTACTACTACTACTCCTCCTCCCTTTCTCCCTCTCATCTTCCTAATCTTCTTCCTATCTCTTGATCCCCTTGCCCTCCTCCCCTTACTTGACCGTTTCCCCCCTCTCCTGTTGATCCATTCTTCTTCTTTCTTTTCTTCTTCTCACGTTGTCGTTGTCATTGTCATTGTTCCTTCTCTTCTGCCTCATAGAAGGCCAGTGTCAGACCATCGGAGACAATCATGTCCCCCAGAACTTCTCATGATGTCGAACGGGACTTCGACAAGAGCCATGTCGACAACGTCGAGATCGTGACCGATGGAGTCGCCAATGCCGATAAACCAAACCCCAAGAAAGAGGCCCCGGCCTATGTGGCCAGTCTCTCCCCCGAGGAGCGCGAGAGAGCCGAGAAGGCCCTGGTCCGCAAGATTGACCTGCGTCTTCTGCCCATGATCATCATCATGTACATCCTTAACTATCTGGACCGGAATAACATCGTACGTGGAATGCTTCAGCTTGTCCATATAATCAATTCTGTGCTCACTATTCTGTTTACTATCAGGCTGCTGCCAAACTCGCTGGTCTCGTCACCGATTTGAACTTGCAGGGCGTGGAATACCAGACCTGTGTCAGTATCCTGTTCGTGGGTTATCTGTTGATGCAAAGTAGGTGCAGACCTCTATTGGCAGAGTAGCAAATACTGACCGTGCCAGTTCCCTCCAATTTGCTCCTGAACAAGTTCGGAAAGCCGGCCCTCTACCTTCCGGGTGCTATGATGCTATGGGGTATTATCTCTACGTGCACGGCGGGAGCTCAGAACTATGCCGGCTTGGTTGTAGTTCGCTTCTTCCTCGGTTTTGTTGAAGCTGCTTACTTCGTACGTCTGCCCGAAAGGAAAGAAATATCTACCGAAGCGCCTTACTGACTTCTACTTTCCCCTTCAGCCTGGCTGTCTTTACTTCCTTAGTGCCTGGTACACGCGCAAGGAACTCGGCTTCCGCACGGCAGCCCTCTACTCGGGTTCCCTGATTTCAGGTGCTTTCTCTGGACTTATTGCCGCTGGTATCACCGAGAACATGGACTACAAGATGGGTCTTCGTGCTTGGTCAGTACCATAGTAAATGCCTAAGACACAAACATTGCTGACTTGAGAGTAACAGGCGCTGGCTTTTCATTATCGAGGGTGCAATCACCATCGTTGTTGCCGCCATCTCCATTTTCATTCTGCCCAACTTCCCCAGAACCACCAGTTGGCTCAGCGAAGAAGAGAAGCAGCTGGCCGCTTGGCGGCTGGAAGAAGACATCGGTGAGGACGACTGGGTGGATAGTGAACAGCAAACCTTCCTCCACGGTGTGCAATTGGCCTTTACCGATATCAAGACCTGGATTCTTGTAAGTACACAGTCACAGACATCTGTTCCACCCAGCTTACACATTTAGATGCTGCTCATCTTGTGCATTGTCTCTTCCGCCTCCGTCACAAACTTCTTCCCCACCGTCGTCAAGACCCTCAACTACGGCAACATCGAGACGCTTCTGCTCACCGCTCCCCCATACGTTCTGGCTGTCATCTGTGCCTTTGCTAATGCCTGGCATGCCGATCGCACTGGCGAGCGTTACTTCCACATCACCCTACCCCTATACATCTCCGTAGTGGCTTTCATCCTCGCTGCCACCACCACCAGCATCGCTCCCCGTTATGTCTCTATGATGCTGATGGTCCCATCCCTGTACACCGGCTACGTGGTAGCCCTGGGCTGGATCTCAAGCACTCTCCCCCGTCCGGCCTCGAAGCGTGCTGCAGCTCTGGCAGGTATCAACTGCGTCAGTAATGCCAGTAGTATCTATGCCAGTTACATGTACCCGGACAGTGATGCACCGCGATTCGGTAAGTACCGTCAACCGATTTACTATCCCGTGAAAACAAGACACTAACTGTAATACTAGTCACTGCTATGACCGTCAACTGTGTCACCGCCTTCGTAGCCATCCTGTCCGCAACTGCCCTCCGCTTCATCCTCGTCCGGCTGAACAAGAAGCTCGATCGGGGCGAGGGCCTGGGCGATGGCGGAGGTGTCCCTGGACAGGCCAGCTCCAGGGGCTTCCGTTTCTTGGTTTAGAATTAGGATTGTTTTGTTACGACATCGGATTGTTATGGGTTGATTTAAATACCCCGAGCGGGTTATGGTTATGGTTATGGTTTTGGTAGTATATTTTGGACACAGGCATTCTTATATGATTTTGGGGTCATCTAGTTGGCTGGCTAGTATCATGACGAGTATGCACGATGCACGATGCATGATGCATTATGATGTGTTATTTTACCTATCTATTATTGGGTATTGAATGAAGACATGATCTGAATACAAAATGTGATTTCAACTCAACAACGACATACCACCAAACACAGCTGCCATTCAAGACCCCTCGATCTAAATTCCAGAGCTTACATAGAAATAAAGATACAATATGATACAAATCCTGAATTGAACTAAAAACAACACACAACAAAAAAAACCTCAATAATCCCTTTTTCTACCTCTCTACATCACATCAATCAAGCAAACTTCAACCTCTCCACACTCCACCCCGGCCTCAACCCAGCAGTCTCCAACCCAGCCACATCCAACGAACTATCCGCCACATAATTCACCTTCCAATCGACCGTAATCGCCGCCCCATCCTCCGTCTGCGCCCACACCGCCACGCCAATCGTATTCTCCCCACTGTAATCCAACACTCCCACGGGAACCGGGAACACCACCTGGTTGCCAATATACGGATTAAACCGTCCGTACTGGTATCCGTTCACGAATAACTGCGCGCGGTACGCATTCGGTGCGTTGTCGGGTGTGCCCAGTACGAAGGAGATGGAGACGTCCAGGCCTCGCGGGATGTCTAAGGGGATGGTGGTGCGGAAGAATTTTACTGTTGCGCCGGTGAAGGATAGGCTTGATGATGATGATGATACACTGGCCCATGTGCTGTCGTCGAACCCGGGCAGATGCCATCCTACTCGCTCTGCGTAGAGCCCGTCTTCGTTCCAGGCCCCGCGGACCGGGTCGAGGTTGGATTCGCCGCCGGCGGTGCCGGCGAGGCGCCAGTGGGTGAATTCGGGGGAAGTGGTGTTGTTGGTGGTGGTGGAGGGGAGGAGGCGCGCTTCGAGGATGCCGCGTGGGTTGAGGGCCCCGGTGGTTTCGTCGTGGCCGGTGTCGTCGTGGATTATTAGGAGGGTGTTCTGGGTGGCTTGGTGGGTGATGTTGGTGGGGAAGAGGAAGGTTTGGCTGGCTTGTTCGATGGAGGCGTTGCCGAGGTAGGAGCCTAGGAACTGGCCGTTTAGGTAGGCGGAGAAACCGCTGGTTTTTTTTTGTTAGATAGGGGTGGTTGTTTGTAGGTGGATGGGGGAAGGGGAAGGAAGGGCTTACAATGCGCTGCCTCCTTGGACGTTCAGGAAGACTCCGCTGGCGGTGCCGTTGAAGTAGCCGCGCCAGAGACGGACGCCGTTGTGGAAGCCTAGGGTGGAAGTATATTAGGTTTGTGTGTTAGGTATAGAGGACGAGGGTGGGCGTACCGTATTCGTCAGCGTATAGGACGGGCAATGTGGCGGGCTTGCTGGGGTTGGCGGTTGTCATGTGGTTTGCATCTGGGATAGAGGTTAGTAACGGGTGAAGGAGTTGAAGTGAAGAATGTACTAACCAACCCACGCCGGACCGGAGGCATCGTATGTCGGAAGTCGCTCCGGCAGGCTGTCGTTGACTTTCCAGGAAGTGAAAGCTGGCAGTTGAATAGATACAGGCGCAGCGATAGTGGCCTTGAGGCTACCGTATGAGGACTTGGATGTCTTCAGCTGCTTGCCGTTCCATGTGACGGTTTTGACATCGTTAGGTGCGAAGATTTCCACAGCTGTTTCGTTGATGGAGTCGCCCTTGATTGCAAGAGTTGATTTCTCCAGGCTAGCGGAGCGAACAAGATACGGGCCTTGGATGAGAACTACTCGTGGGTTAGCTCGTTACTTTGAATATCAGGAGTCTGTTTTGTTTTCTTACCCGCTTCGTCCTCCGGAACAAGAGGGTCCTCTGTTAGAGCAGGGGCCCAGAACTCGTATGCTGCGGTCCTGTCCAGTAGGATCACCCGAATGTCGTTGTCAATCTGAACGATACTCATTCCCTGGGCCTGAGTAAATCCGACAACAAGGTTGTCTCCCTGTTGGTGGAAGTTGATCGCAGAGCAGTCTTGACACTTTGATACAACAGACCCGGATTTTGCGCCCTTCACTGCGAATTCTCCAGACTCGCCTGTCGGAACCCAAAGGACGAGGGTGGGCTTCTTGTCCAAAACGGCGTAAGTGAGTACTTCGGCAGTAGAATACAGAAGGGTTTCCGACCCGAAGGTGAAATCGGTCACAATGATCTTAGATTGGTGGCCGTTGAGACGGATTGAGCCTCCAAGTCTGGGAACGATGAGGTTGCCCGCTGACGTGTTGACGCGCAGGCTGAACGCCTCGTTGGTGCCGACAGTCGAGTCCTCGTGAAGCGTGACGTAGAATCCAGCGTTGGTTGTAGGGTTCCGCAGTTCGTATGCTTTGACAGCAGTGTTGTTGGTGTATTGCGTTCCGTTACCGATCAGATCGGTCATTGTCAGATCTCGTGCACTGCGCATAAACAAAGAGAGTAACTTGGTCTCATAGTACTTGGACGAGATGGAGCGGTCCTCAGAGATAGGGGAGGAGTAGTCGTAGCTAGTGGCTGTGACAGGCGCAGCAATCGCTCCCCAGTTCGTTCCTCCATACAACATGTACAGACTCATGGCTGTGACTCTCTGGGCGATGTTCCACCGGTAGAAGAGATTGACAAAGTCCACACCAGTATCGTCGCCGCAGCCACCTTCAGGTCCAGCCCAGGGGTTGTATGAGCCGCCCTGGAACTCAGGCATGAACGACGGCATTGTCGGCGAGAATTCGAGGAAATAGTCATAGTATTCGACAACCTGGTAGGCTACATACTCGCCATTGGTGGATGTACACTGGCTGACATCGCAAGTCCAGCACTTGGAAAATCAGCTTAGTCAAGTTTCAATTGCGACTAGCCACTTACCGAAGGATAGGAATCCAAGCCGACGACATCGACGTTGCCTCCAGCGTTGGACCAATCGCGACTCCAAGCCATGGCATTCATATTGGGATCATTTGCGGTGAATGGTACGAGAATGCCATTCTCGCGAGCGCTGCTTTCGAGAAGCTCCATGTACGCGATAGCCGTCTCATTAGGAACCCTCTCGCTGGGATCACTGAGCCATTGATCTCCATACTCGTTCTCGATTTGGTAGCAGAACGTATTATGGCCATTCGTAACCTGGTAGCGACTAGTGATCTCCGTCATCTTCTCGAAGTATGGCTTCCATGCTGCCGTGTATCGCGAATCGTTGTTGCGCAACGTTCCATAGTCGCCAGTCGTCAGCCACAGAGGAAAGCCACCCGCACTGGCCTCTGCATTGATGTAGGGACCCGGGCGAACGATGATGTACATCCCAAGCTCCTTTGCGAGTTCGAAGATTGGTGTGATGTCGCGGGCACCGGTGGAGAAGTCGACCGTGTGATTATTCGGGGCATGCCACGCCCAGCTCGAGTAGATTGAAAAAGTCGTAAAGCCTGCAGCTTTGATCTTCTCAAGAATATCCCTCCATAGGCCAGGTACTGGGATGCGCCAGTAATGGAACTCACCAGAGAAGACAAATATTCTTTCACCATGGACCTTGAAACTGTAATGATCCCACTGGATGTCTGTGGTCAGACCGTCATCGTAAAGTGGCCATCCAGTTTCCGTCTGGTTCTGGGCAGCGGCCAGAAGACCTATACTGGAGAGTAAAAGAGCGCATAACTTGGTGATCCGCGTCATGGCTGCTCCTTGAACTGACCTGATGGAGGATCAGGAATGCGTGCCTGTATGGATTACCCATTTTTTACACTCCGGGTCGGGAGGTCCAATTTATAGCCCGCCTTCAACTGAGGAAAAATGTTTAACATCTCGTCTCCCATGACTTCAGGCCCCGCCGTCTAGTCTAATTAGTGGCGTAGAGTCCATGAGCCCTGGTTTATTTCCGAGAGACTCTTGAAAGCGTAAGCGTAACTCCGAATGACACTATCCACAACTGGCTCTGTGATGAAATCAACAACTGCCAAGCGAACTCATAATACTCGTTAATTTGAATAGCACCAGGCTACCATTCGTTTGAGACGCCATGGAGGCCAAAGAGCCAATGACCAAACGGTGCCGATAGTGCCAACTTAATGAGACCGGGACAGGGTTTGGGGTGGAGTACACCCAGGGACCAAAACCTTTGAAGATTCAAGCTTGCGCTGCACAAGTCCGGCGGAGGTGTCAGCCAATGTGGGGTGGAACTAGTCTGTGGGGAAACCAGGCCGGGTTTTTCCTCCATTCAGAGGGATTGTCGGGGTGCAATTTTCCTGTGGGGGAATCGGATGGCTTGATCGATGCCTGTCTGACGCAGAGATGCTGTGCCGAGGTAAGCAACACCAGTTAGCTTGACCAGAAACCCCAAGGACAGAGCTGTCAACGTACTTCCAGGTTCAAAGGGAGAACTGGATAATCTTCCATTGAGTGAGGTTATTAGTTGATGAAACAGGTAGTATTATAGGGAAGGTGATGAATCTCGAGATGGAGATGATGACGGGGAAGTGCAGGATTCCAGCCCACAGTAAGAGAGCCCAGCGCGCACATGACCGCGACGCCACCACCAGATGAGCTGCATTTGTTACGAGATCATATTTTGAGATCTAATCAAGATAATATGATTGCCCAAGTCCAAACGATTTCTTTGGCTAAATTACAAAAACTTTTCCAATTCCATCCCGACACCTAAACCAACAGCCTCCATGTCCAACGGTGGATGAGGTTTCAAAAAGAAGTATGTACACACACAATAGTAGGGATCTATCACAAGATAAACGGGGAATGATTATGAACAGCAGGTGTGAAACAGGGAAGACAATAATCCAAGAGAAGCTGTCCAAAAGAAGCAAAGTACATTAAGAAACCGTATGTGACCGGGCCCGTGGATAGGCTGCTAGCCTGACGGCGACCACTCCAGATACCGTGGGCCATCAGACCGGAACCAACCCGGGCCCGGCGGGGGGAAACCGCGGGTCCTGCCTCTGCAGGATGGTCGATGAATCCCGAGGGAAACCGACCGACGTATCGTACATTCCCGAACCATCATGATGAAAGGCCGATTTCGCGATTCGGGCCGAGGCGACAGGCTACGTCGCCTTGAGTTGATCTTCGTAAAAAATAGTTTTATCCTTCTATACTGATTCGAGGCTCCACATAAGTCACCCATAACCAGCGCTGCCGAAGACTTAGGCAGAGCGATCCAGAACCTCGTAGGGGTTGGAGTCTTTAGTGTCCACGACAATGGTCGAGCTCTGGAGCTCTTCCTTAGTGGCCTTCTTCGCGCCCTTCTTGCCGCTGACGGTCGAGAAACCCGAGTCGGAGTCAGCATCACTGCTGGCGACACGCGTTTTCTGCTTGGCAGCAGTTGCGCGGGTGCGAATAGGAGAGTTCTCAGCAGGCTTCTGCTGGTTCTTCTGTGCCCGAAGGGCCTGGATCTTGTTCACAGCCTCATCTTCGGTAGCTTCACTGGTCTCTCCGTTGACCTCGACGGCCTTGCGGATCTCGCGGCTCACGCCTCTCAGGGCATCCATTCCGGCTTTCTCAGCGGCGTGCAACTGAGTCGGCTGACGGGGACCGGGCTCCTTGCGGTAGAGGTACGAGCGAACGAAGAACCGGGCAAAGAGGTAGGTCAAAGGCAGAAGGTACATCACGTTGAGCCAGATAGCGAAGCCCTGGCCGCTGGTGTCCATACAGGTCACCATCGGTCCGACATGGAGGACGCGCGCACCAGCAGTAGCTTCCGGAACGCCCACATTCTCGGCGATCCCTTCCGCACCCGCAGCGCGGAACCCGAGCTTCTTGAGCCATGGCACAAGTCCAGCACCGGCAGTACCAGCCGGCACAGTCGGGGTGTCAACAGGAGAGGCCGGAGCGGTCTGGCCCACAGGAAGAGTGTAGCTGAAGAACAGGTAGGAAGCAGCCATGGTGGAGCCAATGATAAACTGGGTGATTTGCATGGTGGTCAAGGATCTCTTGATCACGGTGGGGACGCGAATGCGCAGCGCAGTCACAGTGTAGTAGGTGTACTGCATGCGACGGTCAGAACATATGAGCAACAAATCAAAAACAACCCGGGAGGGACGTCACATACCATCAAAGCATGAATTCCAGAGTTGACCAAGGTGAAGATCCAGATAGGAGCTGCGACGTAACGGATACCGGCCCACATGCACATCATGGCACCGGCGTGATGGTAAGTCTGCAGGGTCGAGCTCTTCTTACCCTTGGCCAGGATGATGACGGTATCAAGGACCTCGTAGAACTTGGACAGGTAGAAAATCCAGCCGAGGAAGGCCAGACCCTCATTCCAGAGACGACCAAGATCGGAGGGGTCCGGAACACCGCCTGCAGCCAGGCTGAACTCGGGGTTGCGGAAAGTCCACTGGTCGATGGTAGAGTCGTACGTAGCCGCATTACCGTAACCACGAGGTCCATTGATCTTGCACAGCGTATCGGCAACAGCTGCGACGTAGTTGGGATCATCCCGACTGGGCCACGAGCTGCGGAACGCACGGATCATGCCCGCAAAAGTCCATGCCGAGTAAATGGCCAGGAAAACGTTGTGGAGGATGACGAACAGCTTGAAGAGACGCGTCTGACTGAATCCATAAGGCTTGTAACCCCGGCTCTTGTTGATGCGATTGACGAGGACCACGGTCACAGCGTACACACTCGCAATTGTGATCGGAACGCGCACGTCCAATAGCTGGTTGTAGAGCGTCGGAGGGATGTTGAAGGGCTGGTTCCATGTCGGCTCGGAGATCACAGGGGCGGGGACAGTGGCTGGGAGCTCGCTGGGAGGGAATTTCAAGAGGGACGAAGGAGGCAGGCCGATGCGAATGACGGCCGGGTTCGCCTCGCCGTGGACGGTGAAATCGTACATGGTCGGGACGCGATTTCGTGCGACTTTGGGACGACCCGACGATACGGGAGAAGATACGGATGGGAAGTTTGAAGGAAGAAACAGGAGAGAAAGAGGATGAGAATTGACCGGCGACTCTTTAAGAAGAAATGGTGGGACAATTCAGTTAGCCCGAGCCGAAAGAAGAAAATCACCAGGAAAATTTCCAGGCCAAGCAAGTCCACTCGGACGACTGGATACTGGAGGGGAGCGCGCGCAAATCCCGCTGTGAACTGGGGATAAGCAGCAATTGTAAGGCGCGACCAAAACCTTACGCGAGCGTGGAGGAGGGGAGAGGGAGGAGGAGGATAGGCAACGGTTGGTCGAACGAACGGTGATCGCTGGTGACAAGGAGTTAAAGCAAGGCCGATGTGATTAATTCATAATTGAGGTCAGTCAATCTCCGGATTGCAGTTGGACCGTGGATCAATGAGAGTGACGATGATCGCGGCGAGTGGAGCCGCGCAGCGTTTTGTTGGGAATTCGGCCAACCTTCAAGCCTCGGCCCAACAAAGTGGTTACTGGAGAGCTCTGGCATGTCTTGTGAAAGATACTGATAAAGATGATGATGATGATGATGATGATGATGGATTGGCATTGGAATTGCATGGGGGTTGGGGGGGTCCTCCCCCTTGAAGGAAGTCATCCTCCATCCTATACAAGCTGACTGCATTTGTTGGAGATGATATAAGATGATGTGACGCCTCTCTCTACCTTTCGCAACTCACATGATGACCGGCCCGGATTCACTGAATATTTCTCCGCCTCGACAAATAAACCGAACAAATCACCCTCCGCAATTGATCTCAACCGCATGAAAACAAAGTAGTACAACATCTCCCATTCAGCTACAGATACTCCCCCATTGCCCCAATCTACTCCCTTTTCTTATAAATCACCTAGTACAACACACCCAGATAGGAATTAGGTTGCCTTAAAACGGCATGACATCAACCAGCGGAAGTGACAGCCATTCCACGCCATTTAAGGATCTGGTTTTGGTTTTCTCCAACAATTCGATTTCCGGCCTTCCAGAAGCAGCGCAGCGGATCCCGTGACTGCACCATGACTCGTGGTGCTGACTCAGCGACTGACATCACCCAACCATCATTGACTCGACAAATGCGGCCCTCATTGGCTAGAAGGACAAGTAGATACTGGCAGGAAATGTTTGTAGTAGAAACGCAATTGCCTGGCAGGAATTGCCCTAAGCACAACTCTAGGTTTACATGAGAAGCTGCCCAGTTAGACGTTTGTCAGTAGATGAGGATTCTGAGCCTGACGGGTCAGAACGCACATCACTCGTATTTCTCTGTGATGATCATCGAGGTCATGCCGTCAAGTCTGGAGTTCATAATCAGGGAGATATATCGACTCATTGGGCGTGCGTTCGAATATTAGCAGCTTCTGTGGTCGTAGCTTACGGTTTTCCGTTAACACCGGGATCGGAGGGAAGACAGCAGTTCATCAGCGGAGAGTACATGCTCAACTGAGAGGCCGTATTTGTCGGTCGTATTACTAGCAAGTTTCTGGTCTATCTCCCATGTGTTACTCCTCATCGTCCTTCAGTATAGGATACAAGCCTAGTACTACTGGATAATGACACAAGCTTGGTATGTCACCGACTAGTGTCGGAATAAAAGAAGTGCGATTTCCAAACCGACATTTTGATTCAACTACTCCCTTAAAAACGCCTCCACGCGCAATACCCCGTCTGTTAATCCATAATCCATCAAAGTACCAGTTTCCATATTCCATATACCAAGATGCTTGTATGTACAAAAGCGAGAGTGGGTATGTATGCATGCACGCACGTACGTATCTTCACATGGCAAGACAAGAAAATAGACAAAGCATGGAAAGCGAATGGGTAGCACCTTGGTATATCCATCTTCCAAAACTGAATTGAAGATCGCTCGCTAAATGAAAACGAGGGGAAAGGTATCAGAAGAAATAGTTTTATTGAGTGAAAAGGCAGTTTCAACGACGCATAGCCGGCCTTCGCTCATCATCTTCAAATGACGATACAGACGAAACATCATCCATATCTCTAGCATGGGTATACGATCGACGCGATATCTCAGATACTGCGTCGTCGAGTGGATGATCAAAGGGCGATATTGGACGGTCAAGTCTTGCTTCGGGGGAGGGCCAGGCAGCTGGCATGGTGGGCTGGGGACTTCTCTCGGGGTCGTTGTTGTCTCTGTTGGGGACTTCTTCTGCTGCTGCAACTCCTGCTCCTACTCCGGCAGCGGCAACGGCGGTAGCAGCAGTATGAAAGTTGTGGTTATTCGTACTCGGTGGGCTAAAGTCGCGCGGATGATGGTTGGTAGGGTTGATATGCTCGGGTTCTTGCGGGACAGGGCGACCTGGGATGGGACCTGTGAAGGGGATGTCATGTGAATTTGTGGGCGCAAATTCCCATGTTGCGCCGTTTGCTGCTTGCCGTGGTCGTTGTTGTGGTGGAGGTGATTGTACTTGGCGAGGAACTGCGCCCATGCTGACTGGGGGTTGATTGTTGTTGGTCTGTGGTATGGTGGAACGGTTGCGTTTTTGACGCCTGCGTCTTAAAATGAAGAATATTAGGGCTGCGATGATAGCTGCGCCAACGACTGCAACGGGAACCGCGATAGCGATGGTTTGGTTGTTGCTGCTAGAACTGCCGGAGCTGCTGGTGCTCTTGACAGCGGCAGTGGTGGAGGTACTCGAGGAGGTTGAGGATGAATGGGTTGGAGTTGCGGTGGTAGCGGTGGGTTGTGAGCTTGACTCACTAGTGGTGATCGGAGTCCATTGCTGGGTGGTCGTCCTGGTGGTTTCTCCAGGATAATACTCTGCTGTGGTGGTGTGCTCCGATCCCCATGGGTTCTGCGTGGTGAATTCTGACTCCCCGCCAGGGTTGTAGTTTGAGCCTCCGCCTATGCCGGCCATTTTGCCAATGCTCAAATTCTGTTCTCGACTGGTTTTATCCCGCCTACGTGGTGGTGCAGAACACTGGGGGCTTTATATGTGCGTTGTGCCGGGATACAAAGGAAGGTGGGCAGTGGTGATAAGTTTTAAGGAATGTAGTGGCCCTACACAAGGGCGATCTTTTATTGAACAAGGTGGGATATGCCGGACTCGACTATAGCAATGATTAAACAATGGAACACCTGAGGTTCACGTATGAGCATGGACCTACCACATGGGAGCCCTCAGGCTGATTCTGCAGGCTCTTGTTGAGAAAGCTTTCTATACTAATGTACGTCGGGAACATCCAGGCATGCCCGTCACAGAGCAAACAAAGAGCCTATACGCGCCTATGCGTATGTGAGAAATGAGAATATACGGGGAGAAATAAAAGAAAAGCACGGATCCTGCCCGGGAAATAAAGATGGGGAAAGAAAACTGCCCAAGCTAACACAAAGGAAGGCTGACATGGCGCAGCAGCTCCTAGTGAAGGACTACTGAGGGTACCAAGTATAGATTCGGACGGAGGGTCGCTCACTGCCAATCAGCAGTGAAGTTGGCGGCACAGCACGAAGCGCTGCCCACCATCCAGGACGACACGCATGCATCTCGCATCCGTTAGTCAACAGAGACGAAACAACGGACAAGCCTCTCCTCCCCGAGGCTCAGTTAGTACGGAATAACTAATTACGATAGGCGCCGACATTGACAGGCTGCTTAGTCTGGGAGGGGGGTTCCATCTAGCGCTGTTGTGGACCGGGACCGTTTATATATCTGCCCTATGAGATAACAAAGACAAGGCGCCTAGCAGGCATCCAAACAATAAATTTCTTTGGCTGCTAGGTGGGATGGTGCTAATAGGGCCGCGAAATTGATAGCCCTGAGAGGGAGTGACTTAGCTCCAATCATCGGCCCGCTAGTCTGATCGACGCATTACTTCGTTGCGTTAAGAAAACGGAGACGTAGCAGCGTTGCGTGGCCCCGACATGGGGGCCAAAGGATCCTTGACCGTCGCAGACAGCCAGTTATACTGCGGCCTAAGGAGACCCCAAAGGATGATATGAGATCATCGCATACCCCGGATGACTAGCCGGTATGTTTTGTTGGGACGAAAATAACTTAATTATGCAGTTGAAGTATGTAAGAAGAGTAAGCAGGAGCAATGCATGACTTGAAGCAGTTCGTAAATCCAGCGAATGGCCATCACATGACCCCGGAAATTGGAGATGGCCGGATCCGGTTAGGCGCGGGGTGGAGTGCGGACCGCCCGCCAAAAAGGGACTAGTGTCACGGCACTGCCTCGCTCTTCTTATCTCTCCGGTCCCGGTCGGATCGGCGTCATTGCAACTACCCAAGTACTCCACTGAAACAACTTATTTGCTGGTCCAACGCCGCTGTTACAGATCATGAGTGGACTCAAAGGGGTAATGAAAGAGGGCTGGCACCCTAAGGGTAAAGATGGGAAGAAGGAAAGTTGGAGGAATGACTTCAAAGGCATAAATCAAGTGGTTAGTGTCTTCCACCCCCTGCTCCAATCGGGCCACTAGCTGATGTGAAATTACCTCATTCTAGGCAGGATGGATGGGGAAGGGGAAGGACAACACCAACGATCGTGAAGAGCATGTTTCGGCACCTCTTTCTTCACTCAAGGACCCAGCATCTTTTGGACCACCGCCGAAGCATATCAAATATCATGGCGCTGCCGCTCTGCCGAATGAGACCACACCGGATCGGAGAGGATTAGGTGCCCCGTTGCCACAAGAACAGATAGATCGTCAAAATGCTCAAATGCAAGAGCAGCAGCAACAAATGCAAATGCAGGAGGAGGCTGCTCAAAAACCAGCACCCCCACCGCTGCCATATCGTGCGAACCGGACGGGTCTGGACACCTCCAACCTTCCGCCGCCCCCAGTCAGACGCATGGGTTCTCCAGCAGATCCCATACCACCCCCCAGTTCCAGACCTAAACCCAATCTTCCGCCGCGACTTCCTTCTCGCAACAATTCGACTCCATCCCCGCACCCGCCTACCCCACCCCCAGCTTACTCTCCCCATTCTCAGACCCCTTCGCATGCCGAAGAATACATAAACCAAGGCGCTGCTTCCCGCCTTTCCCAAGCTGGTGTGTCAGTACCTGCACTTGGAATAGGAAATAATGCCGGTCAATGGGGAAGAGAGAGCAGTTCTCCCGGTTCTGCGTCTCCAGCAATGGCAGGCTCTGTCGGTCAAGCACCGGTGAACGAATTGCAATCCCGTTTCTCGCAATTGAGGACCACCTCCTCGAGCTCTCCTGCTCCTCCCCCGCCGCCAGCACGAACTTATACGAATGGCAGCACGGCCCAGTCTGTATCTAGCCCGGAGCCCAGAAGTGGCTCCTCTACTGTCAGTGAATTTCGGGAGCGACATAACGACAAGATCCAAGCGGGGAAACAGAAGCTGAATGGGCTGAACGAAAAGTACGGGATTTCCCAGCGAGTCAATAAGTTTTTTGACGACCAGAAGACTCCAAGCACTCAAGCACCTCCGGTGCCGCCTCACCCGAATGCAAATAGTTCGACATCCAGTGTTGACACGGATGCATTGAGTAAAAGAAAGGCTCCGCCGCCACCACCTCCTCCAAAGAAGGCGGGGATGCGTTCAACGCCTGTCGCCGGGTCAGCCCCGACGCCGCCGCCTCTTCCTTTGAACACCAAGCCCCGTTGAGCGGAGGTCCTGACTGATGTGTTAGCAGTCCGCTTGGCTCATTGATGGGTCATGTATCATTAGTATATATATCGTTGCATAACCATGTCACACTGTATACCTATTGTTACTATAACTGTTCCGACGTTATCGGGTAAGGCGTCACAGGGATGGTGCTCAAAGCACAGAGTAGAACCCTGCCAACTACCGATTGCCAGGCTCTACGGATTGAACTCATCTGATCCTACTCAACAATGTTCAGAGAAAGCCACCGCCCCCTCTACTAGATCGATCGTCCAAGCACGCAGCCAACCCATCCATCTCCTGAAAAAGCACACCCCGATCATCACATATTCGAGCGGTATCAAAGTCAATCAACGTAGCTTTTCCTCCACAGATAAGAAAGTTAAACGGATTCGTATCCCCATGACGAACCCCCAGATCATGCAGCCGCCCCAATACCTCCCTGCAGCTCTCAACATCCTGAATACCAGCATGCCGTGCATCTCTTATATATTCAATCAGAAATCCAATCACGCGTCCACTTTCCGTTACGTGACCAAGGAACCTTGGCCCGACATCATGACCCGATATCCACTGATACGCCGTAGTTTCATTTTCAATGTACTGGATCTCCCAGGGGAACCGCGCGAACTTGGCGACGACAACATTATCATACTGTGGACATTTGACTTTATAAATACCCGTCCGTAGTTTCCCCTCCATCGAAAGATCCAAGTAGTCGATACGAGTCTCATGCCAGGTGTTCTGGACCCCCGGGAACTGGGTTAATATAATAGATGTAAAGCACGGTTGATTATCGTCTGCGTCTTTGGATACTAAGCCTTCGTTCCAATCTCCAGGGGGGAAATCGGGTAGAATGGAGACTAAAGACGGACCAAAACACATCTCATCTGTGCTGTAGATACCGGGTTCAACGGTGATATACTTGATGGATTGGCCGTTGACTAAGAGGCGGAAGAAGCTTTGGTCATTCTCGTCCACTTCGGCTTGGAGGAGTTCGATTCGCTGTTGATTGGCCATGTTGGAAAAGGAGGGACATGAGTATTAGGCTATGGTGTTGTAGTTTTTTTGGGGTGTGGCAGTGAAGCAAAAGTGGCATTGGTTGGCTTTATCATTAGATAGGCGGTTGTATGAGGGGGCCAATTCGATCGATGTACGGTGCTCGGACCTTTGTGGCGTGGTTACATCGACTTTGTGAATCACTAGTTGGGCGCTTATATATATCGCTACCCTTTGGAAGCAGGATGCCGCTTTATTTTGTATAGTAATTCTGAATATTCATCTGTAAGGGGGATATTAGTTTCAGGTTGGGCTGGCTAAGGTATTGATCATATTTGAAAACGACGTTCAATAGAAGTTTGATAAACTTCGTTTCTCCAGCTACTACAATCAAGACTTTCTTTATTCAAGTTCTAACTAGATAAAAAGAGGGCCTTAACAAAGCAGTCTAGATGTATGATTCTGCTGTTCTACATCTGAAGAGCCCTAGTCAACTACTTTACTGTGCTCCTGTATTGTAACTTGGGCTTTATGCGTGTATTGGGATAATATCTTGAATCAATAGAGCTTGATACAACGGACTTGAGGGAATATCCTTAGAATAGCATTTGTCCACGTCGGCTTCATAGTAGTAGTCGACGAGAATAGTATGATATAGATACTAGTGTAATGTTCGGCGATTAGGTCAAAACGCACCGAATGGAAGGGAATGAGCAACACATATACAGCAGAAGGATTCAAATAAAACCAGCTGAGGACACAGAGCAATGGATAGCGTGCTTATCGTCATATGCATTTTCCCGAGAATAATTCCTTATACCTCAGCAGAGATGTACTTGACATGCACATTCGGCGGGTTTTTCCCAAAATGGTTATTAGTAGAGGAAGCGCCATCTCCCCCATCAATGTATCTATATAATGGGTTCATTCAATCATCTTAAATTTCCTACTTCAATTCATCACTGATATTTCGTGTCAAGATGAACCGCCCATATCATATAATTGTATATGGTGCCACCGGCTACGTGGGTTCATGGGTGGTGGTGCAGTACCTGTGGAATCACGGTCCACCAGCCCTTCGATGGGCGGTTGCCGGACGCAATGAGCAGAATCAGAAGCTCACAACCCTTCTCGACTTGATAGAGGATTCTAGATGCATTGCCGATTCAGACGCTGGCATCGAACGCACTCCGTACAGTCTTCCGGCTTGGTGCAACGCAGCTTTTGTGCGTGACACTGGTCGCAGGCAACGCGGCGCGCAGACGGATTCACAATGACTCCTACATAAGCTGAAGGGGGCTGGGTGGACATGATGTCAACTAGGGAAAGATAGGGCATGGGGTAAGTAGCGGATAAGTATTCTATATTCAATTGCTGAGAGTTCAACGGTCTATGAGATGGAGACTTGTCATGATAGGGATGAAATAGAGGAAGGAAGTAGGATCAATCGTCCAAACCCTGCTTAGTCTGACCAGGATGTTTGACTAGGTAAATGTGGCCCTTGTGGTATAGCTAAATACCCTTAAGTGACTGACTGTCTGGCGGACGCTGGACTCGCTCATTGATACATTGTTATGTTGTTCGTCAAATTGATCGTCCGTTATTTTGAAAGAAGCATACCTCGCAAAAGCTGAGCGGAAACTATTTCTATCAAAACAGAGATAAATATGCCGTTCGATGATGCTATCTCTAAGTCTAGCCCTCATCTCACCTCACGTCAGCCTGAGGCATAAGCACTGGCTGCTTCCCCTCCCCAATGCTAGTTATGTTGGTTGAGGGTATATTTACCCCTGCTCCTCTTCACTATCATTATTCACGTTTGCTGTCCTTAGAGAATCACTCTAGGTATGAGGCATAATCACTCAGTATGCAGACTGGACCCTGTCTGATGGATTATACTGCTTGGACCTACTGCAACAGACATTGACTAAATGGGCCTATCACGTAGCGTTCATTTATGTTGCAAATCAATCTATACCTAGAGTATGTACAAAAAATAGCTTATACTATATATACATCCATCATCTATCGACCCTTGCCGAAATCGGGCTGGTAGGCCTTGACCTTACCCTTGGACAACTCCCTCAAAGCCATGGTGGCATACTGGCTCGAACCAAGCTGGAACTTGAGCACAATGGCAAGCTTCTCCTGCGCATTGGAGGACGGTGTCGCTTCACCAGGGGTTTCAGTCTCAGTCTTCTTGCCTTGGAGCTTTTCCAAGTCGGTCTGAACGAACTGCTCATCATCCTGGCTATACACGTGCACATCGAAGGAGAAGTCGGGTCCGGGACGGTTGAGCAGCTTGCGGTAGCTACCGGTAAGACTGACCTCCCTCCACTTGCGACGCATGTCGAAGGGATCGAGACCCCCACCCTGGGCGCTGCCCATGAATTGTTTGTAGAAGTCCGTCATCTTGTTGGCCGGGTAGAGAACATCGTAGCCGGGCTGGGTCAGAACGACATCGAAGATGCTGTACTTGCCGCTGGCTGCCTCTTCGGCCGTCAAGGCGCGCGCACGGGTGATTCCTTCAGAGACATAGGCGCTGTCTCCCGCCTGCGGGGTGATGATGACTTCGCCATCGGCGTCAACCTCGCCCGCAGCGGCAGCTGCTCCGGCATCGTCCTTGTCGCTGTGCTCATGCACCAGTACGAGATCACCCTCGACAACCTTGTCGCCGTACAAGCGCCAGCGCTCACCGGCGGCAAAGTTCCACACCAAGGACTGGTAGGCGTGGACATACATCAATCGCAGATTACGTGGGATGGCTTGGAGAGCACCAAGGTAGTCGTTCTGGGCACGGCTAAGTTGACGCATGACGGTGGATTCCGCAGCGAATTTCCGAGGAAGCTTCTCAAGAGCCTTGTTGGCATTTCCGGTTGTTTCAAAAATGTGGATTGCTTCTGCGCGGGCCTTATCATCAGAGCTGACCATGGCAGTCGAGTTCTCGCCCTCCTGAGCGGCAGCCAGAGCATGGGGGCTGTACTGGAGGATAGCATCGCAGGCGCCCTTGAAGTCACCCTGGAGCATCTTGACGCCGACTGTGTCTGTGCGTGTAGCGAAGGTTCCGAAACGTTGCAGACCAAAGTAGTTGAAGTAGCCACGCTCGCGCAGATTCCGTAGTGCGGTGCCCACGACGTCCTTTGCCTTCGCAATGGCAGCCTCGCGGTCGCTGAAGTCAACACCCGGAATATCGCACTCACGGAGACTGATGACGAATTCATTGCCATTCAGATCTCCCAGATCAAGGCCATGTTTGCAATGCTCGAAGTCGCCAAGAGCAGCATTGCGGAGCGTAGGGTTGATCTTAGCGAGGCGCTCAGCATGTAAACGGTGCGCACAGGCTCTCTGGACAGTAACACCGCGGCGGTCCTTTGTTCCGGCGAATTGGAAGTTCTTCGTGTTGATCTTCAGCTGCCGCGAGATGAACGAGAGGACTTCCATGGTATCCTTGTTCTCCTTGTACAGAGTGAAGTGCAGGTAGGGACCACCCAGCTCATCCCAATTGACCGGTACACGGGGGCGTGCATTGTTACGTCCACCCTGCGCACTGCGGTTGTTCCGGTTTGGCGCAGCAGAAATAACCATCATTCCTTCGCCATCAGTTTGAGACTCGAGTTGCGATTTGAAGATGCGACGGATAGCCTGGTGCATCTTGATGCGCAGGTCGCGGTCATCGACAACAAGAGTGGGAATCTTGGGCAGGTCGCTCGGCTTCGATTTGGGATTGAGGACGGCACGCTTGTTCAGGGATACAATCTTCTTGGTGGATTCTTCGCCGAACAAGGATTCAAGGAGGGCCATGTCTTCCTCGGGGATCTGGAATTCGGGCGTGTTCTCTGCGCTTGGCGCAGCATCCTTCTCTGCAGAGTCTTCTGGCTTCTCCTGCTGGTCGTTCTCTGCGGGTTTGGGCGTGGGAGTTTCCGCGGGCTTAGCCTTCTCCTGTTCTGCTTCCGGGGTGGGGATATTGTGTAGATGCAGGACTTCGCCGGACGGTACGATCTCGTTGACAAGGAAGTCGGTATATCTAGTAGGAGAGGTTGATAAGCGCCTGTATATTAACAGAGTTTGGACTGTAATTACCTCTTCTTCAGGATGCCATAGAATCCTTCATTGTCGCCACTGACAAACTCGGTGATTCCAACCTCGAGTTCTCTCGCCTCCTCCGCGGAGAGTTTGGCGGCGTCTGATGGCGCAATTGCCTCGTTAGAGGAAGGAAGGGCAGCATCCTCGGTGATAGGAGTGTTATCAGTCTTGAGCCGCTTGCGCGGCGACTCAACAATATCGGCACCTTCCATAGTAACGGTGGCAGTGATGTCAAACTGTAGTAGTTGCAGCACCTAAAGTCATGAGCGGCTCCAATCTGGAAAAGTTACCGTCACGTTTTTGCTGCTCCGCATTGGGCTAAAGTGGGGCTAGCCCTAGTGTGTTCGAATGAGGAAGTCTGTTTACATGATCTGATCTATACTACTGACATACCTTCATTCAATATCCTTCAACAATTGTAGCAAATTTACCAGGATGGTATGCATAAATATTGTCGGAGCTCTCCTCTGCTTGACCTATATTCATATGTAGCTATGTACGTATATATCGTACTATTTGCTCCAGCCTCTGTCTTTGTCTCTCGGATTGATTGGAGGCACGCAGATACAACTTTTCGGTTCCCAGATCTGCCATGAGATTAGCCCTGCGTCACCCATATTTTGGTCATATATCCAGATGTCGAGATGTGATAGGTCTCCTACAGTACATCCATATCGAAGAAGACATGCAGCCATGCAGATACCCAAGGATGTGCTTTTGAGTATACCTCTGACCAATACACATGAGCATATTTATCATTCTTTTAATTCTGCCGCAGATCCACACAAGTAGCCCTTGTGGCGCAATCGGTAGCGCGTAAGACTTGCAAGTACCCCCTACCACGCCTTAAACAAAAACTCCCTACTAACTGTCTGTGAAGCTACTCTGAGATCTTAAGGCTGTGGGTTCGATCCCCACCAGGGGCTTTCAATTTTTTTAGGCATCTGGGTGCTATAGTGGGGATTATTGTGTATACTCTGAAGAAATTCTGACCAGAGAAGGCCTGGTCTGATTCATAAGAGAAAAGTACGCGGGTGAATCCTGTAATTTTTGACTCAATCACAGTAGATGATTAGAGATACGGAGCATGAGCAGTGAACTGAGGAGATATCTTTGGATATTCGGCGGCATGGTTCCGTTCAGGCATCTCTCTAGGTTTCTCTATATCAGGTACTACATGGAGGGTTCTTGCAGGTTTTGGAGATCTTCTCTGTAGGTCTGGTTTACACTTCTGCTTCTGCGGTTTAACCTGCAAGGATGTGGGTTGTGAAGATCCGGCTCTTAGGCCTCTATGTATGATGATACAACATGATAAGCATAGCTCCTTTGGGTATACGCAGTATATCAGTGGAAAGACAGAGTGTCACTCAGCTATATAGGCAATCACATGTGCACTATAATATGACTGTGCTAGTACATACCACAGGCTACCTACGTCTCTTGTCATGCGAGTATTGTCAGACCTCAAACCGATACTCCTGTGGTTTATTCAGAAACAAAGGGACAACGTAGGTGTTAGTGCATGCTGCCTAGAACCTCAATATGACCACCAAGACACGGAGCCCTAGAATTACAGCTCTACCCCGAAATCAAGGAAAAAGATGTTCTAGGCTCATCCACTGTTAGCAGCAGGTGTATTATCAAGTTACCATCGACGGCAAATCCCGACCAAGCTCGACAAGACGTATGATTTTTACGTACAGAAGACCACAACAAGATCCATTATTGGCCTACCAGCCTAGTATAGGCACATCAGGCTCATGTGCAGCGGCTCCTACATGCAATCCAGGCTTCCCAGTGAGAGGAGCCCTATCCTGGAGAATCCCGCAACAACTACAGGAACTCATCTCCAATTCCCATTCCCACCGTAAGCCCTAACCTACTCGCCTCCCCATAAAACCCCCCCTATAAAACGCATTCTACCACCACCAAACACCCCACCTCAGGGCCCCATACCCTCCTCCCCTGCTCAGCAGGCCCAGGGAAGATAAAACAATCAAACATGGACACCCTCCTCTACCCCACCCTCCTTCACGACCTCCATCCCCACCTCGACATGAGCCACTGGCCAACCCTCGACCCTCATCTCTACCCCTTCTATCCATCCACCCCCCTCCCTCCCCCACAGACCACCCACGACCCCATCCTCGCCCGGCGCCTCCGCCTCAAAGAATCCGGAATAACCTTCGAATACTACAAGAAACTCTTCTACACACCCCTGGACAACCTCATTCTCATAACCATCGGGTTCTCACTCGAAACTCTCCTCACCAATATGCCCGAATGTGATACTCTCGCTCACACCCCAATCAACAGACACCATCCGCACTGCATCTTCGCCATATTGCGATCCGCGAAGCAGCATCTAGTACACGCTCTCCGGACGGGGAGTTTCGCGAATAAGGCGATTAATCGAACCAAGTATCATGTACTGTGCAAGGTTGCGGCGAGGGGGGATACGGCGCAGGAGATTTTTGGGAATTTGTTGGAGGATCTGGATGCGGTGTTTTTGGAGTTGGAGGGCGGGGTTAGGAAGGTGCGGTTTTTCCCTTATAGGAGGGATGGGGATGGGGGGAGGTTGGAGATCTTCTTTTATGAGCCTGGGGAACCGATTGTTGGGTGGAGGTCGAGGGGGTTGAGGGTTTGGGAGGAGGGAGGGAGTGGTTCTGGTTGTGGGTAGTTGGGGGGAGGGGGGAGAGGGTAGAGATAGTAGGGCTAGATGGGATGGGTGTGTTGGAAGGTGGATTGAGAGGGGCAAAAGGTGGTTGTGGAGGACATTTGTTGTTCTCTTTCTTCCTTCTCTCTTTCTTTCTTATGTTTGATTAACATAATCCAATATTAACTTGAGTGTCTAATCTCTATACTTAATCTAATCATGCATTCTTAGTAGTCATCACGCTGTGCATCAATACCATAAGCCAAAACAGAACGCCGTAGTCGTGGAGGTGTTGCGGCCTCGCACATATGTAGTGTTAACCCCGATGCAATCTGTGTACAGTCTCCAACATACCAGATATGAACAGTAATAGGGCATCGCTTTCGTTTGAATGTCGTTGGTTTGGAACCAAATCATTCCCCACACAGGAATTAATCAATCACAATCACTCGATCCCGCATAGTCAGGCAATCCGTTGGCTCTACATTGCCACCTGACCATGCGGTCCTAATAGCCTGGACCATCTCCTTTGACGCTTGACGAGCTTCACCGCGCGTCTTCCCGGCCTTCAGGAGTGCTTCATAGCTGGTATGGGTGTGTCTGATATGAGCCTCTACGGCTAACTTGGCTTTGTCTTGGTCCGATAATTTGGATGTCCGGCCCACGCGGCCAGAGCCCTTCAGAAAGGCATGTTTGAGAATAGTGTCCAGTGACTCCTCAGGCATTAAAGGAAACTGGGCGCGTAAGAGCTGACGGGCTTGTGTATAATCTTTCTCATCACGTACTTGAACAGCTTGAGCGCGAGACTGAGCTGTTTCGTCCGCTAATCGGAGGACGGCAGTGTGAACATCGGCCGGAACACGTAGGCCAAGAGTGCTCTTGCCTCTATCATCCTGTGAAAGGGTTAGAAAATGGGTACAAAGAAGCTGCTAGTAGTAGAATGATTTGGGTTTGTATCCTCACATAAACCACGTAGACAATTCGGCCAGACTCCTTTGTCAGTTTTCGGCAATTGCGAGTAATGTAGATGTCGCCCTTGGGGACAAATCGGTAGTTTGCAGGGGATGGATCCCGTCTAAAGCAGTTCTGTCCACGGCTCGGGTGTCAGTATGTATTTAGTGATTGGTACCCCGGGTTGGCGCTAGGATATGCAGGCAATGCAAGGATCAAGGCTGGGTGATCGGGATCCCTGCTACAACACCGGGAACACTAATAACTATCAAGGGCAGAAGAGAAGCCCGAAGCAGGTCTCTCAGTTTTTGTCATCACTCACCTTTTCTCTTGGCTCGGTCGACAGTGGAAGGAGATTCAGTCTGAATGGTCTCCCTGGTTTACTCCTGCGCTCCGTAAGTTTTGTCTTGCTGCTGCTGACCACGTCGCCGCGATCACGTTTCTTCACGGCGCTGTTTTTGCGAGTCTGGGCCAGGATAGACAGGGGCGATCTCGGGGTGATCTTCCGTTTCCCACGCCGCCTTCTGGCGGCCCCTGAGCGGGAGGCTTTCTTTGGCGTGGGCGACATTATCTCCGATCTTTTTGAGAGGGAAAGGCCATTCAGATAGGAGTCTGAGTAAGGACTAGGCAAGACACGATCCAAATCTGATTCTTATTGTATACTTGGAATCTGACGCTGCACTAAGGCTACTGCTGCTCTGATGGTATAGAATAACGGTGTGAGGCGTGTAGGGGTAGAAACTGGATGGGTGCTTGCAGATAATAATTCTTATGGGTCGGGATAGTGAAAGGAACGTTCATTCATAGTCAAAGAACGACGGCCCAGCTGTCCTTCTCTTTATGTATAACAACCCATGCGGGCTGAGTTGGTTATGCCTTGTAGCGAATGGTTGTAAATATTTGTGGTTATGGCTGAAAGAAAGGCTGGATACTGATGCCCAATGGCCAAAGAGTGATTTGACACAGCACAATGGTTAGATTGGATGATGAATCCACTTACTTTCCTCTTCTCGGCGGGCGGTGGATCTTGGCGGGGTTGTGGCTGGTGTGTGGCGCGGTATTCACAGCCTGCAATTTCAGGTATCAAGTATGAGTAGATCCTCAAGTAGTTGCATGTATCAGTTTGGGGTCTCCTGGTCTTGGACAAGTGTACTCTATATGTTGTATACAAGAATGAATTCATCAGCTATATAACCCCTTTACTTCACACTCTCATGGGAATGGCCGTCTTCTTCTCCTGTGAAAGGCTCTTTTATGGAGGCGAAACAGAGTATTTACAATGTGCCACACTCAGCATGGGCTGAATAAGGCACAAATGTCCTTCAATAAGAGCCTCGGTGACGGAGTACTCCGCATGATGAAGTTACCTATCGTCACTATCGGTCTATACTGGCAACACTTGTATGAACTATCATCAGCCCTTCTGCTTTATGCATTCGCTGCATACTACTTTACGAAACTCCTGTAGGACCGATCGCACCGACTCTGCAAAGCACCCGCTTCAGGCCCGTATCCCCATGGTAACAATCCTACATGTATACGGCAATATCCGCACAATATTTGCCACTTTCACAGTCGGTGTATGAAGCTGCACATTATGTGCATCTGATCCGCAGATATTGATCGATGATTATGCTCCGCCGGCATTCCAGTCAGGTCATCCGCCCACGGCCCAGATCTTACACATCGTGAAGAGCAAGAAATTGCCATAGATAGATCTATGGTGCAGCTCAGGTATGCAGTCATCAGGGCCATGTGCACTCAAATCTCACTTTAGCTGCACAAAAGATAAGAACCCCCGGTTGTCAGTCCAGGAATTTCTTGCACGGGGCGAAAGCAAAGCAAAACCTTTTTGTAATTAGAGGAAGGGTGAGCCAAACATCACCCTGGGCAGTGCTGCTCCTTACTGATGTCTCCAACCTTAATCCAGCCAAGGTGTGCCTGACGAGCTGCGAGATGGACAGGCTGGCAGGACACTAAGCCGGTGCTGCATCAACCATCATGTCAGGGGCTTCCCCGAAAACTGAAATCATTGATGCTCAATGGAGGGAGAGAGGAGAGACTACTGCGGGTTACACCGCAGGGCGTCTAACTACTGCTGCAGGTCCCGTCGCTCGCGTGCAGCAGCTCTTACTGGTTCAGCCCCGATGGCCTGAGAATGGTGGTTTGCTGACTTGTAAAGGGGGAAAGGGACTCCAGACAGCAAGTCATCGTTGGTGGATGCTTGGGGCCTATCGGAAACGGCTTCCATCTCAGTCGGCTGGATTAGCATCGGCAGAGCAGATCAATGCCCCCAGAACATAGAAAAAAGATCATAAATAATATTAAATAATAGTAGGGTTAGTTCGGGACGGAGTAAGTATGTAACTACGAATCAACTCAATCTGGGTTCGGAAGTAGTGGACGGCATTACCCATTGAAGACTGGAGTGTAGTACTTTAGTTTAACCGATCGGGGAGAATTCCGCCCCTACCATAGGCTCTCCCCTTTCCAATAGTGCTCGACCAATGATGTTCGCCAGAGACTAAAGAATTGATCTCTTTTTCTTGTTGCTAAACGAGTTACGGCAGGCATTAGAATCCTCCGTCCAGGAGAACCGATAGATAGTAGAATTGCAGATAGTAGTCAGTACCTACTTAGTAGTCTAGACTCGCGTTGGGTCGCCTCACGTCCCCTCTTTTTCGTGGCCCAATGAATGAATGAACCACCGGGCGGGTCGCGGTGAATCTCCTTAATCGGGTAATATTACTTTCGGGGACGGAAGCTCACCCTACCTTTTTGCCCTGCCCAGTATCCATCCTAGCTACCACTTACTCTTACTGGTACTAGTATCCATGAAAGATAGATACCTCCCTCTTGGGCTGAAACATCTGCTCCTCAAGAAATAGACTAGATCAGACAAGTCTGACTCGTTATGTGTGGGAACTGGGAGGGAAAAGACTTGGAATCAATCGAGTCTTAAATCCAACGGTTTCTGGAGACGAGCCATTTGGTATTTGCCTACGTTTTCTGTCACCTCGCCTGTCCCGCAAAATGAAGCATGGATAGCTGCAGCGAGTGCAAATAGCGTCAACATACTAGCTTCCAGACAGCTAAGTTAGGAAAGGGAGCGAGACCAGGGATTATGCCGGAGAAGACACGGAGCTGAATTGAGGAAATTGGAAATGGGTTCAAATGTCGTCATTGGAGTCGGTCCCAGGCCCAGGAGATCGTAATTACGGGGAGCTATTAATATTCCGGGCACACACATACACAGTACAAACACAGTTTTAACACAATCTTGCGGGACGTGGGATGAGATCGAGGCTGGAGCTGAAAAGAGGGCCCCAGTGGATTGACTATTAGTGGTTAGTTTTAGTGGTGGTCGTGGCCGGAGTTGGGGGGGTGGTGGTGGGAGGATGAAGGACCAGAAACCCCAGGGCGTCCGAGGGTCGTTAGTGTTGGCGGTGGTCGCAAGGCTCAATCTCCCGTCGCCCAATCCGGCCTCGATCGACGCTTTCGTAAGGGAAGGGAGGTTGACCTGCTCACATTCAAACCTTGTCCGGGTTGATTCCTACTCCAGTAAGTACAGTATGGAGCGAAATATGGAGTAAGTGTTGACCGGTATGATTCGATCTACATACATCGGTGGTTTAGAGAGCGGTCGAGACGTGCGGCCACAATTCTGGGATCGGGACGCAACCAGAGCTCTCGATATCTATCACCTGTGACTGTTGACATATCGGTCACCCTCTCCAGCCAAGTGGGAAGTCTATTCGATGGCCACCCGAGGAATAATGAACAAGCCATAAGATACGGGGGAGGGAAACAATCGAAGACGGATGCAGGTCCAGAGCCCGGCGTCAGCACCAGTAAGTAACTTGACCAACCGATCACGCTGGAGACGGTGATAGATGACCCACGGAAATGGACCGCTGTTCCTTGTTCTTGGGACCGCCCGCTGGTGCCTTGGAGCGCGGTTCACTAGTCATGGATTATTATGGATACGTTCGGTGGTATAATCTCGCGCTGAAAGGACCAGTCTCTTCCCGTTCGTCTCCAATTTGTCGACAATTTCAAGATGATGCCGGTGACCTCGTATACGTTTCTCCGGCATTGACGGTTAAGATAATAGGTACAGTACAGTATAGCATAGTTAGTTTGATGGGTGGATCACTGCCTCTTATTCTCTACTAGACTATCTTATACACTACAATCACAAGCGGAGTATACCTTCCCTAGGAATTGATTAAGTCACTACTAGCTGACTATCCCATCCGAGGTACACAGTAACTACTAGAGAGTAGTGTGATAGTTCACTATTCTCGGAAGCAGAACCATTGGAATTTGATAGAACCACCAAAGCATGATTAGTAGTAATCACCTAATGCTCTGTTTCATAAGAGGAAGTAAGAAAATAGAAAAGGTTAGTATTCTAGGTTACCATCCATTCACTTTTTGTACCCATCCGGTGCGTCATGAAGGCTCCCCCTTCGCAGCGGGAAGGTCAAGGTGTCGGTCGTGTGCAGCGGTCCCAGTTCATCTCACCCAAGGCCCGGAGCTCCACCAGCCAAAAGTGGAGGACGATCGGAAGGAAAGGCAGAGTTAGTTGGTTGGTTAATTAGTTAGATGATGATTCGAGAGGGGACTCGATGACCAAGGACTAGATGAATACTAGAATACTATAACAAACACTATAATAATGGCGGGGGAACAAGATGGCAGGATCAAAGACGATAATTTGGAGCAGCCTCATTTGTCACCAGCGATTGAAGGTACCAAGTCCTGGTTGCAGCAAAACCGGACCTTGACCCTCCCAGGGAACGTAGCAGTTCATTTAAAAAAAAAGTCCCCAGCTGGTGGATCTGCGGATGTAAGTAAAAAGGAAAAAAAGAGGGCAAAAAAACTGTCAACTTATTACCAAATTACAAACAGAGGAAAACGAAAACACAAAATTTCCCATTCGGCTTCGCTTCTTGCTTTCTTTCTCTTCCTCTGTCTCTTTTTTTTTTCTTCTTCCTCCTTCACAACGAGCCGGTTGATTCTTCTCCTGGTCTCCTTTTCTTTTTCACTTTTACCTGTTCACTCCTGTTTGAAGGGCAAGGTTCGGCCAAAACAAAAGAGGGAAGCATCAAAGACACAGCGTCCTAATCTAAACGCATTCCGCTCCTCCCTTTGTTCAGGAGAGCTCTGTCGTTCTTGGAACCTTCCATACTAACCAACCTAACCAACCTTCAATCCCTCGAACCCCCAGCCTGCCTGGTCTGAGTCTGTCCTCTCTATCTCCCTCCTCCCCTCTCGACTCCTCCTCTTTCCTCCCTCTCTACCTTTTTTCTTTGTCCCCTTCTTCTCCGGATTACCAGCCCCGGTGACCTCCCGTCCTTCAGACCGGCGATAGGACTATGTGCTAGCGTCGTCCTCCCTTCGTCCAACCCCAACCTTTCCTTCGAAGGGTCAAACACTCTTGTGTCCGAACCTACAACTCCAGTCCGAACTAGCTTGGCTTCAATGACCCTGTGGAGGAGGCTCACATTCGTCGGCACAGCGATCCCTACCGAACCAACCCCTCTCCTCCAACATTCCTGACGGCCCCCGAAATATCTGGACTTCCTACAAGAGGGTTGCCTGGCAGCTTGTGTGCATTGTATGGTTGCTGGGATCACAACGTTGCTGACATGAGTTGGGATCAACCGGTTCACAGGTATGTCGGTTGAATTTCCTACTCATCCTGTATTACCGGCACACGCGGGGCTGCCTCTCTATCACCACACTCCTTACTAGCTACAATTTCTCCCTCATACTGGTTCCTTGCTCTTTTGTTACTGCAGTTTTCCACTGTCTTCCGCTTAATTTCGGACTTTTATCTCTATATGCACATAAACCCGCCACCCACATTGTTCTCCTCTGGCAGTATATCGTGTGGGTTGCGGAGCTCCTACCGAGCTCCGACCCTCCAGCGGTAGCTAGTGTGCAACATGATGCTGACAGAGCCGTCTTTCTCGTTCAGCTTCAGCTATCCCAACGGTGAACCTCAGACTCCTACGAGGACTCCCCCGACAGCCACGATCTTTGGCGATTCCGCTTTTCAGACCCCTAAACTCGAATCCAGCTTCTTCGATCCCCGGGTTACCTGGGATACTTCGGACCCCTATGCCTCGAGTCCGGAATTCCTCCGCACGCCCCAGAAGTTTGGGCTGAGCACACCTTCCATCAATCCTCTCCGACTGCCGGATACAGCCCCCGACCGACCGACCGATACCGAGGACAATACCCGGAATGGCAAAGCGGCGGAGCAGGACACTGATACGGCCAAGAGACGTCGCCCGTCAAGGCCACATGGGCATGTGGGAGAGGATGGTCCTCGCACAGTAGATTCAGCCAAATCTGCTGCGACAATTCAGACCCCTCCTCCCAGCAGTGCTTCGAGGAAGAAGGTGACGGGGCTTGACGAGGCCACTGGTACAGGTCGACGGCCGTCCGCTTCTAGCATGATTGGCGGTCATTTAGAGACTCCTAGTCGGTTACTGGGTGCTTCCCCACGGCTCTTTGGAGACCTTCAATCATCCTCAGACCCATTCCAGCTAGGATCAATCGAATCCGGCGCCTCTTCATTCTTCCCACAGCAAAGGCTATTCTGGGACCATGATCTCAATCAGCATGAGAGCAATATGGGCCTGTCGGCCAGTAACAATCTTGACTTGTTTGACCTTCATGCCAATGACTCCTTCCACGTCAACCACACCACCGCCCCGGATTCTCACATCCCACAGTTGCCTATAATCGAAGGGAACATGGACCTCCCCGATTTCAATAATAGTAGTACATATAACCTCTCTTCGGGGGTGACCACTACCGACGCCGCCCTCTTTCCTGCACCTTTCTCCACTTCCCCTCGCCGCCCTATCACGAAAGCAGAGGATCCAGCACTGTTCCTGAGCTCCCCTGCACGCCGATTTGGTGGACTGCAGCCGACTCCTGAGAAGAGGCTCTTTTCCCGACCGACTCGCCAGCCCTACCATCACCAAACGGAGGAGTCTAAGAGAGAGGAGCTCCGCCGCGCTCGCAGCGTCAACCACCATATCCCTGTCTATGAGGATGATGATGACGATGACTACACCCCCCGTCAGATGAGGCCTAATTTGACTCGTAGCCTAACGCACAGTGCTATTGCAGGGTCTGCCAGCCGACCGGGGTCTGGGAGTATGATGGCTTCCAGCAATGGAATCCGGAAGAGTCCCTCCAAGGGTCGCTCCTCTCCCATCAAGCCCATTCGTCATCAGCTGTCGAGGGCAAATTCAGTGGCTGCTAGTCTGCCGAGACGCTCTCAGTCCGTAGTCCTCAAGATAGGCAAAGACGGTAGAGCTAAGGCGGAAATGCAACCTGTGCCCGAGGCATCAACCGGTTTGACAGACCCCCTCACAGGAATGGACTTGGATGGCTCCACCACGGAAAGCGAGTATGACTCGGTGGACTACTGTGAATACCCAACTGTCCCCAGCCGCAACCCTTCATTTGCCTTTTCCGACGCCAGTGGGGCGACAATTGCTCGTAGTGACTGTGGTTCACGGCCCCATTCCAAGGGTTCCTATACCTCTACGGCAGCGTCATCCTCAGGACGAGCATCCCCGTGGGCTGACGCCGGTCGAGCGCCTTCCAGACGACCACAGTACAAGCCTACTTTGGATGACTGGAAGCGCACCCCGAAAAAGCAGTTGACAACGCTCCACTCGGACCTATCTTACCTCAGTGCCGGTTCCCTAGGCGAGCCTTTTGCTGATCCCGAGGATGACAGTGGTGATGCCCAGCATGCACTCCGAAAGGTCCTCCAAGAGAGAGGTCGGATCCCTCGTCCGCACACTGTCAGCTACGGGTCGCGGATCAGCCGTTCAGCCCGCTCTCTCGCTCACCTCCGATCATCCCCGCCACGATTCGGTGCGGAGCTTGACCTCAGCTCACGAACCACGAACACATCGCCCACGACCATGACTGACCCCGACATAGCCACCCCCGTCACCGACCGCTTCAGCAACCCGAGCAATGGGACCCGGTGTGTCTGCAATTCCATGGACAATGGTGGCCACCTCATGATCCAATGGTAAGCCATAGCAATAACTGTCTATGGATGGCTACTGATTGATGAGCAGCGAATCATGCAGTCACTGGTTGCACACCAAGTGCGTTGGACTGGAGCGGGCCAACCTGCCGTCCGTGTATGTGTGCATCTTCTGCGCCCAGACACCCACTCGAAAGAATCATCGGGTCCGAGTGCCTGTCGGGGCTTCTGGACATGCCCCCACCTCGCCTTTAGCTCATAAATCCTACCGATTTCGATGAATGTAATGACCATGGCGCTCGATTGGCGTCCTTTTCTTCTTCGTGTACCATTCTCGCACCGAGTTTTTGTACGACTTGACCTACATCCCGGGTGGGTTCTTTTTTTTGCATTTATGGTCTCGCCAGTGAGCAGGCCTACGCCTTCGTTTTCCTTTTTCCACCGGGTTTCCTTTGTTCATCTGTGTGCCAGAGCTTAGACATACCCCCATTTCCTTGCGACGTACATGTCATCCGCTTCGGGCGGTCATGTATCACATCCCAGCGGTAACTGCTCACCTGTGGATGTTGGATGTTTTTAATTTGTTCTATTAATTGTGTGGCGAGAGACTTGTGATACCTGTACTCTTATATGTTCGCCACCTCGAATGAAACCACTACCATGAAGTACTACATTAGCAGCAAATAGACCTGAGTAGACCTGCTCCTACCAGTACACTACTCCGAGGTAGCGTTCGGTAACGGAAATACCGTACCGCTTTTAAGGCGGTGAGATGTTCCTGACGAGATCGGAGATTGACGCACTCCGATTGGTGGACCTGACGCTTATCGGCTCACCGCCCGCGATAGGCACGTGTGTGGTCCCGCCTCAATGATTTTCGCCGTGGCGCCGATGACTCCTCTGATCCTCCTCCTCCTTTCCCTGAAGTGTCTCTGTCCATCCTGTTTTCGCGACCCTCCTTCGTTCGTCTTTGCAGATGTCCGCCTCCCTCCCCGGCAGCCGGGACCTCCCTCGGTCTCAATATGATCTGACAACCTACTGGGGCCGCGTGCGGCATGCGGCTGACCTCTCCGACCCGCGGTAAGTGGGAAATGCGCTCGATGTGAATGAGTGTGTGAACTTTCGCTGACGCCAATTCCTCCAGGATGATGTTCGTGTCTTCGTCCGGCCTGGAGCAGGCTAAACAGCTGGTCTCCTCGTACAAGCAGAACCATCTCCCGCATATGACTCCGGAGCTGTGGCGCGCGAAGAAGGTGGTTGATTCCACCCTTCACCCTGGTGCGTTCTCCCCCCTTAGCCAGCGATTGTGAGGAAGAAACCACCCAGCATATACTCATACACACCAACAGACACTGGCGAGCCGGTCTTCCTTCCCTTCCGCATGTCCTGCTACGTTATGTCCAATCTGGTCGTGACAGCTGGTATGCTTACGCCGGGACTGCAGGTAAGTTACACACCGACACGCTCCAGCCTCTTAAACCCGACCATGGATTTTCAAAACTGACCAATAAAACCAAGACCACCGGAACTCTTCTCTGGCAAATCGCCAACCAATCGCTCAACGTCGCCATTAACAACGCGAACGCCAACAAGTCCACCCCGCTGTCCGTCCCCCAGATCGCCAAGTCCTACCTCATGGCCGTGTCAGCCTCTTGCTCCGTCGCTCTAGGTCTGAACGCCCTCGTGCCCCGTCTCAAGGGCATCTCGCCCAATGCGAAGCTCATCCTGGGTCGTCTTGTGCCGTTCGCCGCCGTGTCTAGCGCCAGCGCTCTGAACGTGTTCCTCATGCGCGGCGAGGAGATCCGTCAGGGTATTGATGTGTACCCGGTGCTGTCGGAGGTGGAGAAGAAGAAGCTCGAGGAGTCCGGCGAGACGGTGCAGAGTCTGGGCAAGAGTAAGAAGGCGGCTACTATTGCTGTCGGCGAGACGGCTATCAGTCGTGTGCTGAATGCTACCCCTATCATGGTGGTCCCGCCGTTGGTGTTGGTGCGCTTGGAGAAGACTGCTTGGTTGAAGGCTCGTCCAAGAATGATTATGCCTCTGAACTTGGGATTGGTCCTGGCGACGTCCCTGTTTGCCTTGCCGTTGGCCCTGGGTGCGTTCCCCCAGAGACAGGCTATCAGCGCGACGACTTTGGAGCCGGAGTTCTGGGAGAAGGGTGGTAAGGATGGTCAGGTGGAGTTTAACCGGGGCATGTAGATAAAAAAAAGTTTACCTTGGTTTGGCAGGTAGGGGGGGCGGGGGCGTTTGTTCATAGCTGTTGTCTTCGGGTCATCGTGCTTTGCAATGCTTTTTAGATCGTTAGACCGTTTGTGGATAGATCGTGTGGTTGCATATATATACTATTGTGGTGAGCGTTGGGTCTTGAGTCTGGGGCCGAAGCATTTTAAATGGATTGCTACACATATACTACTTGGCACATCATCATCACTACCACGGTTACCAATTGAAACTTGATGTATCTATTACCTACTACTATAACCTCTACAAGTTACGTAGTGCTGGAGTACTACCAGTATAGCCTGAACCTGAAGAGTATCATACTTATAAAAATATGAATAATCATATACTATAAAGTAAGTAGTACTGGATTGTTCCAATAACTACTTAAGCCATATATATATTCCGAACACACTGTTCTATACCATTACAGAATAGTTGTACAATAGTTTTAAGTTGTAATAACACTCATCATTACAGCTAATCTATATATAATCAAGTTTTGAGAGTAATGTCTAGCTATAGGATATCATATAACAAACCAGTTTTTACTTATCTTATAAGGAAAAGCATAAGACCCTAATTCCATATACTACCATGTGCACTGATGGAAGTAGTAGAATCTCTTATATTTATATATAGCATGTGTAGGTTGAACCCTCCTCCACCTTGACCAAAAAGCTGTACTAGTCATGATCATGTCTTCCAAAGACGCCTATACATTCTCATGCGCAATAATCACACCCTTCCCGGGCGTCCCTTGATCGACATTAAGCCTTCGTAAATACACCACTGGGTCAGTGGTAGCACTAAACTACTATGAAAAATCCAGAGCTGATTGTATGTATCATTTTCGGATAGGACTTCCTACCAATTCCCAAACTCAGATTCAATCATATATATCGTCATAGCCGATTCTCGTCATTCAACATTGCATGAGACCATTAGAGAGAGAGAGAGAGAGAGAGAGAGAGAGAGAGAGAGAGAGAGAATTTGGATAGACAACTGAAGTACAATGAAGATAATCGATAACACACACCCCCCAGCCACCTTGCTCCATCTATTTTTTTTTTTTTTTTTTTTTTTAGGCGATTCGTATAATGGGATCACGGAGGCGAAGGGTCATTGGGAAGTCTAGTCGGGGTGTTTGATTCGGGTTTGATATTGGAGAAGAAGGCGAATATTTTGATGGTCAGTTGTTTAAGTGGACCAGTTGGGTGCATGCATGCACAAGGGTGAGTATCTTGTAGAGAGTTTTTGTTGGTGGTAACTCGGCGAGTGGTGGGGATGGATGATAATCTGAAGTGAGATGTTGTGATGTTGGAGTATGATTGTGTAAATAGAGCTGATGAGATGCTTTAAGGAGAAATATAGTAGTAGTAATAGTAGTGGGGAAGGGATGGGTTAGTATTGTAGTAGCCATTCTGTTATTGGGAGGGAATTAGGATTTTCGTACCTGTCTTATTCTATTGTTGCGTGTACTGGTATGATGAGCAGTAGGGATGGCTGTGAACATAATGCTGTTTTGAAGATCTTCGAAGTGTCCATCATATCAAGGTGGCATTGGTATTGGTATATGAGATGGTAGATGGTAGCGCCAGAGAACTCCGGGTCCGTTGATCAGTCGTAACGAGCTCATAAAAGTAAGTAGGTAAGGTAGTATCAAGTGGTATAATATATATACATCGGTAGGAGTGGTAGTTCACAATGCACACGTCTATGCATCATCATCGCCTCGGTCCATCCGAAGGGAACAGACAGACAGACCAGAGGGTACTGCTCTACCGCGTCGAAGAACAAGTCAAAAGGTCAAGAATCATAGTCGAAGCTATGCAGGAGATAAATCGTCATGTCACCAGCGCCCGTAGACGTCAATAAGTTCCGAGTATGAGAAATCACATCGAACGATGCTGCGAGAAGAAAAATGACGATATAAAAAAAACGATGAAGCACAACACAAATCCCATAAGCCCACAAAGCCCCAAGTCCAGTCCGCCCGGACTGTATAAAAAACACATAAATATAAAATGGTATGTCCCTCCGATGATCAATATATGTCGTACTGCTTTTTTGTCCTCATCGGGGACTGGTGTAGCCAGGCCCCGACCAACGGTTTCTTGTGTTCACAATGAAGCATGCAAAACCCCATACACCTTGCCCGACTGCGGGCATCAACTCCGGGATATCCCATCCATGTACCCTCCGTCAGTTCCATTACCCAGTTATCGTCAATCGGCTAGCACTATCGCCAGGCCATCCCTGAGAAGTAGTATCCAAACAGAAAAATAACATCCCTCTATCGCAAATGTGGCTGTACCCATACATGCTAACGCCTGGTGGCTGTCGAAGGGTTTACCTCGACGTACCAGCCTCTTGGTTTAGAAGGGCTCCGCAGCGTCGGAATATTAGCGCGAAGCTAGATCACACCCGATACAAGTGTCCAGCGGAAGGCTGTCCAAATCAACGCCGCTGAGTGGTGCGTTGCAGCTGCTCCCCAATCCGTAGGGCTTCGGTGCCGTCATCCACCAAGGACTCCTTGAACCACTGGTGCTTCAACGCTTCCTTGGCCGTGATGCGGTTCTTCGGGTCATACACGAATATCCGCTGAAGGAGATCGAGGAATAGTTTATGGAACTTGGTGTTGGTCGGGATGAAATCCTGCGGCTGGTTAGCAATCCTGATCCAGGTCCAGGCCGTGAGTGGAAAGGGGCTCGTACCGGAAGCTGCTTCATTGCCCTCACATACTTTCGTGAGGCACGTGTGGTCTGGTCGTTCGGGTATTCAAGCTTGTTCCTGTTGAAATACCTGGGACTGTCAGCATAGTTCGGCGGGTGTAACCACGATGTAACTTACTTGGCGGCCTGGTTTTGGCCTGCGCTGCGACCGCCTTGCATCACCTGCCTCACTAGTCTAGTGTCGATGCGGTCGCCGATAACAGCTTCCATCATGGCAAGGTGCTCCAGGTTGTCATGCGTCTGGAAAAGGGCATCCCCAGTGAAGAACTCCACGAGGATGCAACCGATACTCCAAATGTCGCAAGGGAAGCTCCAGCCCAGATTTAGGATGATCTCCGGGGCCCGATAGTGTCTAGTGGACACCACAGACGAGTGATACTCATCATCAAAGGTGGCTGACCCAAAGTCAATGAGGCGGATCTCACTGTCCAACAGCACACGCCTTTGACGTGCACTCCGGGAGATGGCATGCGAAGAGGATGGGATGGTGCGATTATAGGTGAACGTTTGGTAAGCGTTGCTGACGAGGAGGATGTTTTCAGGTTTAAGGTCGGTGTGAATGAGATTGAGGTCATGAAGGACTGAGAATGTCAGCTGGATATCCCTAGTATTAGGCACATTGCCAAAAGTACTCACAAGCTACACTGGTGAACAGCTGTCGGGCGAAGTTTTGAATCTGGCTGCTGGGGAACGGCACAAAGCCGTTTCCCTTCAGAAAATCGAAGACACTTTGCCCCAGCAGATCCGTCACGATACAGATGTGATTGCGATAATCAAAACAGTCTCGTAGGTGGATGCACTTGTTGCGGTTCTGCTTGTCATTGGAGGCCAGTGTGGACAGCACCCGAAGTTCAATCCGTGAAGCATCCCGGTACTTTTGGATGGAGCGGATGATCTTGACGGCACAGCGGGTCTTACGCTGCTTGTCAAACGCTTCAACCACCTTTCCGAAGGTACCTTGCCCCAAGAGTTTGATGATCGAGTCTGCGAGAAGTTAGCATCGATCGCATCTGGATGAACAGCAAGGCAACACATACATCGCTCCGTCAAGGGAGTATTAGGATTGACAATATAATGGCCATCGTCGTCATCATACTTCTCGCCTCGATTCGCATACTACAGTTGGTTAGCAAAGAAGGAAAGAAGGAGGATGATGGGGGATTAACTTATATAACGTACATCGCGGACCACAGGTACCGGAACATCCTTTGCCTTGATGGGCGGCTTCGGCGGCGGCACATAACTCAAGAACGCATCCCCTGCGTTCTCCAACTCCCGCCGTTTCTGCTCATCGCGAGCGGACTTGCGGGTGGTTACGCGCTTGCGTTTCTGGCCAACATTGGCATCTTCGTAAATGATCCCATTACTGGCCCCCGAACTTCCCTGGGACAGAGATGTAGGAGCCGTGGTGTGCAGAGAGGTTGTCCGATCAGTCGACAGGGAGGCAGCCGATGACTCCTCGCCATAGTGTTGTGGATTGATTGAGTACGACGGCCGATCATAATACGTGACGTCGTAGGCCGACTCGATGCCAGTGCGCCGTTTTTTCCCGGCCGGCTGAGGAGCGTTGCCGTTGGCTGCCGTGACGGTGGACGCTGTCGCGAGACTGCGCGAGGAGGCCTTGGACTGTTCCGGAGGGGGCGTGTCATCGATGACAATCACCTCCTTCGGAATCCCATTTTTATAGAACTCGCCCCAGTTAGGCTTCCTCCTCCGGGTGCCCTGCGCTGTTGTGCCAGCGCTCACAGCGTTGTGGGCTGGAGGCATTGTTGTGGTGGCAGTGGTTGTGTTGGTGGTTGTGGTAGTCGTTGGGGTGGGTGCGGTTGGCATAAGCTTCGGAGATTGCACGAAAGGAAGGGTAGTAGGCGTCGGGGCGGAAACGGGATAGGGATATGAAGAGGGGACGAGGCGAGAAGTGGCTGCAGCGGAGGTGGTGGGATAGGAAGCGTTCGGTTGGTAGGGTTGATGATGGGGGTATCCGTAGTGTTGCTGATGCGGATGCGTCGCGGTAGCCGTGGAAGGGGTGGACATGATGCAAAGAAAAAGTGTATACTAGCCGGATGTCCTCACGGCGGATTCCGGCTAGATGAGAAGGAGAGAGGGGGAAGGAAGAGAAAGGAGGAAAAAGAGAAAGGAGATAAGGACGTGAAGAGGAGGAAGAGAAGAAAGAGGAAAGGAGAGAGAGGGTGGTGGTGGAGGGGAGGAGATTCACAGTCGCCGGATGGTCGTCGGCCGTCCGAATTGTCGTAGTAACAAGCGGCAGTCGTTCGTCGTAGTAATCCTAATCTCTGCGTCGGACACCCGGGGATTCTCGTGTTGTAATTCCAGCAAAAAAGTGGAGTGAAAATTGATGGGGGGTATAGAAAAAGAATCACAAAAGATAAAAAGGATTGCAAGAGAGAGAAATAAAAGAAAAAGAAGAGTCAAGGAGATTATTATCGGGCAAAGGAAAGGAAGAGCGAGTCGAGAGGCGTGGGGATCACTTGGCTGGAGGGATGGATGGATGGCGAGGCGGTCGGTCGGGGGAACCAGCAGAGCGTCCGAGAAACGCTTCGTACGGTACGGATGAGCTCACGAAGGAAGACTCATTGGGTCACCGGCTGAGCCAAAGGAGAAATCATTGAAGTGTCGAAGAGAGCATCAGCTTGGGGTGGTGGGTTTATCAAAGAATGGTCAGCATTGATGAAAGGGGGAGAAAAGCAAGAAGTAGTGGTGGTGCTCCGCGAAGACTGGAATTTGAAAATGGGAGAGGCGATGAGATCTGGTGACAGATAGACGGCCTCCAGAAAGAACTGAGTTGCGCTGGAACGGGAAATTCCAGCGCCCAGAGAGCAAGTGAAAATGGGAACCTTCCCAAGAAGTAAGTAGTTGGTAAGGATCAGTTTATCCTCGTCAATTCTTGCCTGGATTTAAACAATTCGGCCTACAGCATCAAGCACTACAAAGAAGACGGACAATAACAACTACAAGTCTTCTCCTATGAGGGGGAGATCGAAATGGCAGCGTGCAGAACTTATTCCTTCAGCCCGCATTTTACTGACCAAAAAGAATACAGACCGAACAGAACCTCCTCTCCACCATTACGGCGGTCTCAAGGGTCATGGTGGATGATGGCGCCTCGCCGCACGAGCACCACCACAGAAGGTTTGTTCGGTTACGACACAGACACACACACACACACATACAACTCGCCCTCTTCATCCTCCATTCCAGTCGGTGTCATTGGGCCTTCTGGATCAATCAATCCTCCGAGGAAGCCTATTCTTCGGCTGGACACCGTCTTCGATGTCGGGTGTCTTGCTTGCCCTTTGGCGATTCCCCCTTTTCTCTATGCGGCAATAGCCCATGGAAGGGCAATCGCGATTATCAATAATAGTAATTCCAATCCCAAACAACGATCTGGCACGGTTTTTGTAGGCGCAGATCGCAAGGCTCATCTAACCCAACCAGCCCCGGAGGCAAAACATAGCGCCGGAGTTTGAGGCGAGTCTAGGCTTCCAAGCTCTGGATGACATCCACCGGTTGAGGTCCTTTCTTCCGCGAACCGAAATGTCAGATATGAAACACGTTACCAATTACCCTGCGAGACCCAAATGGTCAGGTAAGAAAGAGGGATGATGATGATGATGATAAGGTATGGGTGGCATTGTAGATGTGTTCAACCGGCCTTTCTTGTCAGCGCTCTACTCGTCTGCGGTCGTCGCCGTGCAGTGCTAGTCTACTTAGTAGTAGTTAGTGGTGATGGTCTGGTGGCAATATGTCGTCGTGGCTGCTGTTGCGTTTCGGGCACCTTCAGACGACCGGAGAGGGCTGCTGCATGACATGCGTTTTTCCACCTGGGGGGAAGTAAAACTAAGAGAACTCGTTTGCAGTAGTGAGAAGAGATGCCTCGTACCGCCAATTTGCCCTGGGAGAAGGTTTAATAATAACCCGAAAGAACGATGCTCTGGATGATGACGCCGCGGAGGCGTTTGATTGGATTTGGGGGCGGCGAATCTCCGCTTTTCGGCCTTGTGCTCCCTTCGTCCCAATTCTTTAGTCCCTGATCTCTGACATCATTCCCCCGAAGTTGATCCTCTTGTTTTTGAAGTTGGGGGTGGTACCCTCCCCCGCTGAGTTGATCATGCTCTTGGGGAACCCCGCTTTGCTGCTCTCGTCTGCAGCAAAAAGGGATCGATCGTAGGGATGAGAGGGCGATGAATCGAGAGTGACTGGAACGATGGCTGAAAGTCTGGTGGACATGCTGATTGGTAACTCTCCCCGGGCAAACGATGAAGTCAGATTCAGTTGTTCCGGCTGAAAGAGACTTGCGTGTTTGGTCCCACCCGATGCCCCGAACGATCTAAGCGTCAACCCTAAACTGCTCTGGGAAACCTCGGGCTTGGCATGCAGTACAAATGGGCTCAGGTACGAAACAAACTACAACTACGCGGGAAATAGTAGGGAACGAAGGGATAGAAGATGGTCAGTCTGCTAGGCAAATATGTCATATCATTTCAAACGTATGAAATGCAGTGACCGAGTTGATACACGGAGAGACGGAGTCTACCCATGTCGTTTCTTTCATTTCTTTTGTTTTGCTCTCTTCTCTCCGTGGCACACTGGCAAAGCCAAATATCATCGGGGCGTCAAATTGTCGTCTTCCAGACAACACGTCACTGAACTCTCCGACAATATCCACAATCCCCATAGACTGGCGTTTGCTGCTCACTGCCGTCAGTTAGGAGATAGAGCAAGCGGATTGCAATAGCAATACCCTGATTCCCCTCCGTAACACACGGGCATAAGAAAAAGTAATACATCCACATGAAATATCGGGCAGAGACCCGGGACAATTAAACAGGGGTAGTAAGCTTGGAAGAACGGAAGAGAATCGGGGGCTTGAGTATTACTCAGACAATAGTCCGGAGCCTCACAATCGGATGCGAAAAGAATGGGCCAATGCACATACAATGAATGATAAGAACACCAACTGCGAGCACTGCGGAGTATGCAACCTTGCCAAGTAACCACGATCCTGCGCAGTCACAGCACGGAACCCAAAACGGAATTACAAACCGCTGAAGCGACACATGCTAGGTAATCTTAGTCCGCTCGATCCTCCTTCACATCTTTCGAATAGGCCTTTTGTACGTGTCGGGGGCCTCTGCCATCCAGCTCCAGCATGAATAGAACATCCCGGACCTGGATGCCGGCACCTTTATCTTTGTCTTCTCGCCATGTTCCCAGACGTTTTGCAGGAACGGCGGCTGGCTCACCGGAACGTCCGGGTTTGTCCGCGCTTGCAGGCGGCGTGGCGGTGTTGACCCGGGAGGGCGTGGAAAATCCACTGCCAGCTGCTGCACCACGATTTAACCACGAGTACGTTTTCTTGCTTCCAAACATGCGACCAGATAGCATGCTGTTAGTAGCCAAGCGCGCGGTCTCTACTGACTGCTGATGTTGCTGAGCCTCGCTGGCCTTGGCATCCATGAGCTTTTTGGCTTCCTTCTTCGACATTCCCTTCTTATCGATGCTAGGGGCTCTCTCTCCAATCGGTGTGGAGGCGCCGGAGCCAGGGATATCCACAGATTCTGATCGGCTCGCTCCCCCTTCTCCAAGGATGGCATTTGCGCTGCGCTTGGTACGTTTCGCAGCACGGGCCTCTTCGCTGGAATTGTCCTTATCCATAAGCAGGCGATACTTCTCCGACAGTGGTTTGGTACCCTGCGATTCGATTGCTGAATGTGGGCCTATATGCCAATCGATTAGCCTGGAACACTCCTTGAAGCCTCAGGGTAAACATACGCTTGAGTGGTGTGCTAGGATTTTCCACACTCCCATTGACAGCATTAGCCGATGTAGCAACGTCCTTCCAATCAGTGGGGACAACCCCATGCGAGTGTGCACGTCGACTGCGAGCCAGTGTTGAAGAATAATCGACCACCGTTCGCAACCGCTCCTCACATGCGATAGACATTAAGCTGAGAATGTCCAATAGAGGTGCACCGGTCTGGTTCAAGATTGTCTGCCCGGAACGTATGATCGATGATCCATCTGGTCCAGTGACTTCAATAGGCTGTTGGCGACCGGGTACGGGATGATACAGTCCTTCTGCCGGTATACGGACTCCGAGTTCGAATCCACGTTTCTGCAGCCTCTGCTCCAGAACCTTAGTCCACAAGAAAGAGTCTTGTAAAGTATACTGTGCGCGCCGAGCTGCCTCAGTGTCTTCGCGGGTCGGCTCGTTAGGATCCTTGAAGGGCGGAGGAGGCTGCGTCGACGGCTCCCTGTAGAAGGAATCCTGCGTCGTCGCCGGCTTATATGGGGAGGGTTGTTCAAAACTAGGAGTCGTAGGAACGCTCCCAGTCGTAGACGCTTGTGATGTGAATGAAGTATTCACAGCAGGTGGCACCGGTTGTTGAGGTTGTTGCTGCGGAATCTGTGGCTGTGGAGGGCGAGGTGGTTGTTGAGCCTGCACCGGAGGACCAGAGTAACTGCTTGTCAGGTACGCCTCCTCTTCCCGCACATCAATTCCTGATGATGCTAGCACATCTGTGAGCTCAGCAGCATCGGTAGCCTTGTCTGCCGGTCGAGAAGGTGGTCCCATCGCGCCTGGAGGTGGAGGCGGAGGAGCGGGAGTCTGGGGGACGCCGTTCATATTCATGGTCGGTGTAGTCATGGGAGCCGGCTGGTGTTGCGGTAGTTGTAACGTCCCAAAGCTGGGTGAGGCGTAAGGAGACTGGGACTGAGGGAGAGGTGAAAGATGTTGGCGCTTGAGAGGTGCAGGGACACCACCGTTTACAGGCGACGGGGCACCAGGTGAAGGTGAGGAACCCGGCGGGGAGAATGACTGCGTCAAGTGTTGTTGCTGGGGCTGCGCCATGGTGAATGGATGTTGTGGCTTCGATGAAAATTCCAACTCGAAGAATTAAAGGCAAGACCGAGTCACGGTTGCGCTGGACGCCAGAAGGGAAGGTGTTTCGCGTTGTATGTATGTAGGAAAACCGGGCGGACTACTTTAACCGCCTCCGCCACCAAGTGAGACCATCTCAGGTCATCGCAAGCAAAATCTAAATGGCGTAGAGAGATCGAACAGGGAGTCTTGGTGAAGAAGTGAGCACCGGAGGGAGGGAAGAAGGTCGACGGGGTTTATCGGTGTTACTCTCGCGAACGGCGAAGGGGAGCTTCGCACCGACGAGGTTTGCTGTTGCGGCGATCCGTCCGGGAGCATCACGTGGCTGGCTTAGGTAAGTCCGCGCCATGTTGGACCTTGCGCTTCTTGGTTTCGCGACTTTCCGTGTCTTTAATGCGCCCAGTTGCAGGAAATGCAGAAGATATAACACACTTTGCCTGTTGCTCAAGATACTACTGTGGCAGATACTGCACTGACTGTTTAAACTCCTGCAGATTTAGATCAGGTTCTGTGCAGTACATGTCATGGGCAGTCAATCCCGCGTCAACTGACATCCTACGGAGCAGACGCAGCTAGTTTAGGAATATCGGCACCTCCAGGAACACCACCTACTATTGACCCCGTCGCATCTGTACTGGCCTGCTGCATACTCCCATCGGTTCCGCATCGCTACCTGTAGCTTATCCGAAACTCCCAATCATGGCCACAAAGCGAAAGGCATCGGCCTTGAATGCCGCGGTGGATGACGAGCCGGCCGATCCAACGGATGAATTGGCTTTCTATTGTCTAGGAGGTGGAAATGAAGTCGGGCGATCATGTCACATAATCCAGTATAAGGGCAAAACAGTGATGGTGTGTCATTCGCAACCCAATGCTGTAACTACTGTTTACTGACTGGTTTTATTAGCTTGACGCTGGTATGCATCCTGCGAAAGAAGGCTTCTCAGCCCTGCCCTTCTTTGACGAATTTGACCTCAGCACGGTAGATATTCTTTTGATCAGCCAGTATGTGGGACAGTCTCTCTTTTGCGTTCCCCTAGTCACCCTTCCTACACCGTCGCCCCCGAGCATGCGGGGATTGTTCATGGCCGTGGATAGCATCCCACACCACATCTCTCCTTGGTTTCCCAGCATGGTGGTAGAGTTCCTCTCCGCCATCATAGCAATTGCATTTGCTCATGTACTGAGAGACACAATACAATATATGCTAGTTATTCATCTTGGTCTTTGCGTTGTATCTCTGTATCCGTGCCTTTTAACGCAGTCTCTGCTACATTGCAATTTCACTCTTGCTCGACCATCTCAATCGGACAGTCGGCTGATAGATACTCTACTTAACTCATAGTTTCCATGTTGATCATTCCTCCGCGCTCCCCTATGTGCTCAGCAAGACCAATTTCAAGGGCCGTGTATTCATGACGCACGCCACCAAAGCCATCTACAAATGGTTGATCCAGGATAATGTGCGTGTGAGCAGCACGGCCTCGTCTTCGGATCAACGCACCACTTTGTATACCGAGCAGGACCATTTGTCTACGCTTCCGTTAATCGAGACGATCGACTTCAACACAACGCACACCATCAATAGCATTCGCATTACTCCCTTCCCTGCTGGCCACGTCCTTGGTGCGGCCATGTTCCTGATTTCGATCGCCGGCCTCAACATCCTCTTCACCGGTGACTACTCTCGTGAAGAAGACAGACATCTGATTCCAGCCGAAGTTCCCAAAGGTGTGAAAATCGACGTGCTTATCACGGAGTCGACGTTCGGTATTTCGTCCAATCCCCCCCGCCTGGAACGTGAAGCCGCCCTTATGAAAGCCATTACCGGAGTCCTGAATCGCGGAGGCAGGGTCTTAATGCCGGTGTTTGCCCTGGGTCGCGCCCAGGAGTTGTTGCTCATTCTGGATGAATATTGGGAGACACATCCCGAACTTCAGAAGATACCTATCTACTATATCGGAAATACGGCTCGCAGATGTATGGTTGTGTATCAAACATATATAGGTGCAATGAACGATAACATCAAGCGACTCTTCCGTCAGCGTATGGCGGAAGCGGAAGCTAGTGGTGACAAGAGTGTCAGTGCAGGGCCCTGGGACTTCAGATTCGTCAGAAGTTTGCGCAGTCTGGAACGTTTCGATGATGTAGGGGGGTGTGTTATGTTGGCTTCACCAGGTATGCTCCAGACAGGAACCAGTAGGGAGCTTCTGGAGCGGTGGGCCCCGAACGAACGCAATGGTGTGGTCATGACAGGCTACAGTGTTGAGGGCACGATGGCCAAGCAGATCTTGAACGAACCGGAGCAAATCCCTGCGGTCATGTCAAGAGCAACGACGGGATTGGTGAGGCGAGGCATGGCTGCCGGAAATGAAGAAGAGCAGAAGGTTATGATTCCCAGAAGATGTACAGTGGATGAGGTCAGTTTCGCAGCCCATGTAGATGGAGTTGAGAACAGAAATTTCATTGAGGAAGTCTCTGCACCTGTTGTGGTATGTAGCCCCGTTTACCTCTCGTCACAATAAGTTTGGATCACTCATTCTCCTTAGATCCTTGTCCACGGTGAAAAGCACCAAATGATGCGACTCAAGTCGAAGCTGCTCAGTCTCAACGCTGAAAAGACCGTCAAAGTCAAGGTCTACACGCCGGGCAATTGCGAAGAAGTTCGCATCCCTTTCAAGAAGGACAAGATCGCAAAGGTAGTGGGTAAATTGGCTCAGATCGCGCCTCCTTCGGAGCAAGACGATGGCCAGCTCATGTCCGGCGTCCTTGTCCAAAATGGCTTCAACCTATCGCTAATGGCACCCGACGATCTCCGCGAGTATGCTGGTTTGACCACCACCGCTATTACATGCAAGCAGCATATTACGTTAAGCTCTGCAAGCATGGACCTAATCAAATGGGCTCTTGAAGGTACCTTTGGAGCCATTGAAGAAGTCGGCAAACCACAGCAGGAAATTGTCAAGAAGGGACAGGAAGATGAATCCGACAAAGCCAATGGAGACAAACTCAAGGAGGAAGCCGCCGATGAAGAAATCCCCATGGGAGATACGCAAACCTACCTGGTCATGGGCTGCGTGCTCATCCGATACTATCCTCGTACTCGCGAAGTCGAACTTGAATGGGAAGGGAACATGATGAATGATGGAGTTGCTGATGCAGTCATGGCGGTTCTCCTGACTGTTGAGAGCAGCCCTGCGTCGGTGAAACGTAAGTGGCAATAACCCATTTCAATACCTATGAAAAACCATCCTACTAACTACAAATCATAAAGAATCCGCAAAGCACAAGCATCACCATCACCACCACCACCAACACGACGATGACCACGCCCACCAAATTCCCAATCCCCACTCCAACGTCGGACCAGAAGAGCGTTTCCGACGTCTCCTCATGATGCTCCAAGCACAATTCGGCTCAGAGATCACAGCCATCGAGCGCCCACGCCTACCCCCCAATAGTATCACCAATGGCACCACCGACAAAGTTGACTCCGACGAAAAGTCTACCCCCGTGAAGGAAGAAGAAGAAGATGACCTAACAGAGCTAGAAGCAGCCGAGATCTCTCGTCTCCACGCACTAGGCATTCCATTCCCCGGACTCGAAATCAAGGTCGACAAGCACATCGCCCGGATATGGCTGGAAGATTTGGAAGTGGAGTGCGTCAACCCTGCGCTAAGGGATCGGGTGCGCGTCGTCGTCGAACGAGCCGTGGAAACCGTAGCGAGCATGTGGGCAGAGGGACCTGCGCCTGCTACAGTGGTGGCCGCAAATGGAGAAAGCAAAGATCAGGATGCTTCTACGGGATTGGAGGCGACAGCGATTGAGGCTAAAGCGTGATATGAATCTGTAATTGGCGTATGTAACTATAAGCTTCTTAGTATGTTCCACTTGAACTTCACTATTTCCCCACTGAACAACTTACCTAGCACAGCTCAAAAGAAATGAAAAACTCATAATAGAGTGACATGCCTGCTGAGGCCATTGCTATGGTATTTAGGAGAAGAATCGTGCAAAAAGCAAAATCGTCCAACAGAGTACCGGGTGCGCTTTAGGTCGCCGCCCAGAATTCTCTGTACGCTGATCTGACTTCCTTGAACTGATGGTATTCGGGAGCCATCATGTTGAGGTAGTTTTCGGGGTACCCGGCTTCTTTCAGGGTACGTAGAAACGTGTCAAACCGTGCTTTCAATGCGTCAGTTGCTTCAAGGCGGTCGGAGGCTTCGATGGTAGCATGTTTTTCCAAGACTTGAATAGTTGGAGTGTAGTCTTAACGTAGTTAAGGTTAGTACATGACTTAAATGAGGGATGCAGAAATTGCAATTGAGATAGGGTGGACTTGTTCATCAAGACTTACTGATGATCTCCGCTATGCTCGGCTCAACACCATAGAGACATCGGAATGTGTTGGTGTCATATCGCGGCGGATGCACTGTGCCATCTTCGTCAATGTACCGGCCTTCTTCACTGTACAAGAACCCATCTGCCTTGAAATGGCCGCCGTGCGCTTTCGCGTGTCCTTGGCTAATAACCTTTTGATTGTCGGCGGTGCGGTCACCCATGTGGTCTCTGCGATAGGTGGAAAGAAATCTTGAGCGTATCTTAGCGAATCCAAGGTTAGACTCAACACTCGTTCTCTGGCCTAGTCGATCAAGTGCGTCATGAATGTCCGAAATCTGCTTCTTTAGCTGTATGTTGAGTTTTTCTTGCTCTTCCATTTTGGCACACTGCTGCTCGATCTTGGACTCAAGCATGGGTAATCTCGCGTTTTCGCGGGCCAACTCAATACCTGCGTTGTTGCCAGTAACAAGGTCGTCTTTCACAGCTTCAACAAGGAGCTCGTCGTCTTCGAGGCACTCGGATATCGAGCGTTTCGTGGCAGTCAACATCTGCGAGTCGGATCCAATATCAATCTTCGATGACACTATGGCTGTTGCTCGTTCATCTGAGAAAATTGGGAAGTCAGTTGACGAAGAACCTTTGGATTTCTTAGAACCTTTTCTTCGAGGCATCTTGTGAAGTCTGTATTGCGTCGGAGGAGTGAAGTGAGAACAGTGATTAAGCGGGGAGTATGAGTAGAGTGGGAGTAGTACGTGGAAAGAAAGCAGAAGGGAAGCACCCAAGCAGAAATACTTGTTGGCAGACAGGTTGTTTGGGAAGGCACGTTGACAGTGCGTCTTGGGAAGGCACGTTGATACTGTGTCTTGGGAAGGTGTCGCTCCGATGGGGTACTGCCGTCTTGAAGGTGTGGGTTGTATTCAAAGGCTAAGAAAACGCTGGAGAATAGCACGTCGTAAAAAGTACGATTATGAGCTTGGAATAAAGGAAGTAGTAAGGTGAGAATTTGAGGGGTGATATATATGTACCGGGAGGTAAGTAGATGATGTCTGCATTATGGTGTACCTACGTAGGTACCGTATCCATAGGCGGGTACTGACGGGGATCTGATGAAATAATACGGAAAGCTCTGTGTTTCCGAGCAAGCTGTTGGCGTCATCAAACAGGTTGTATCTCACTGTACTCAGTGACAGGCTACCGGACTCCACAGCTCTGAGAACTTTGCCGGGGGTACCGACGACAACGTCAAAGTTTTTAGACGGATGGTTGGATTCTGGAAGATCACTTTGGGACACAATTGGCTGCACGAGGAGGTCATGTCCAGGCTTCAAGCAGCTTATTGTCTATTTCGCCCATGGGCCATCTCTCGTGTCGGGAAGAGGAAAACTGCTTTAGGGCCAGGTGGCCAAATCGGGCATGAACAGAGTTCGTTTATTATCCCATACACACAGGCATTGGTGACACCCGAACCCGGAGTGCTGATTGCCAGAATATCGCGTGATGTGACAACCAGAGGGATGATGAGGCGTTCGACTTCACCCAATTTAGTGTTCGAGTCTTCCAGGGCACGCGCGAGACGTGGATCCAAGCTCAACGGAAGCCTAGGTGAGCCACGGAGCTTGATGTGGTTTCTAGACCTTCAGATGATAAGCAATAATCTATATCTTTGAAGGAGGGGAAAGACATACATTGCCATTGTCAACAAGTAGTCTCAGAGGATGATTCCTAGAAGAAACAGGAAAGGGGAGTGAGATTCGCCGGCTTCTTGGACGAGTTTGTTGGACGAGGTGGAAGAGGAGATGGAGAGGAGATGGGAGAGGAGATGGGAGAGGAGATGGGAGAGGAGATGGGAGAGGAGATGGGAGAGGAGATGGAAGAGGAGATAGGAGTAATCAGCAGAGGGGGCAAAGTGAAGTAGCAACACAGCAAGTGAATGTACAGTGAATGGTGATTGCAAACTTCACTTTTCTCTTCCTGTCGTCTCACGCAGTACTCCCCAAGGCTCAACATGAAATGATTAAGCCCTTGGATCAGGCTTGGCCTACCGGAAGGCTTACAGGCATGTCACTCTACTATGAGTTTTTCGTTTCTTTTGAGCTGTGCTGGGTAATTTGTTCAGTGAGGAAATAGTGAAGTTCAAGTGGAACATATCAAGAAGCTTAATTCTTTCTGCTTGGGTCCTTCCCTTTTGCTTTCTGTCCACATACTACGCCTACTCTACTCATACTTCCCTTTTATAAACTTTTCCTTCTTCACAAAGAAAACGCTCCAAGAAATCAAAAGGCCCTGCTCCTGCTGACTTTGAGATCTACACAGACGAACGAGCAAACTGCTGTAATGTTGTCGAAAATCAATATTGAACCTCTGAAATCCTTGAAGCCGATGAAATGCGCGTGGAAGCTGTGAAAGACGAGATGATAACAGGAAATAACGCCGGTGTCGAGTTGGCTCGCCAGAACGCAAGACTACTTATCCACTTACCGGAGAGATTACATGGGTGACAACATGGCGGAGAATCACGAATCATCAGCCAGGGACACGTGAAAGCGCACGAGGGCGCTTCCTTATACCGGGAGGAAGGCCGCTAGGAACCGACGTATTAGAAAGCGCGATTTGACATGTTCCTACATGCCTTGAAAGCAACCGAGTACCCCGGAAACTACCTCAATATGATGTCTCCCGAGTATTATCAGTTCAAGGAACTCCGATCGGCATACAGAGAATTCTGGAACGCGACCTAGTTGGTGTGATCAGCGTAGCTGATGGCACAATAGCGAAATGCGGACTCTGTGTTGAACGCTTTTGCTTTTTGCTCGAATTCTTCTTCTCATATCCCATAGCAATGGCTTCAGCAGCACACATTTCTTAGCAGCAATGTTGACTACCCGCACAAATCCACACACGTGAGACCGAGATGGCTGTGGCTTTGATTATTTTCTTTCTACTCGGATGCTTTAGTGCTTTTTTGTATTATAAAGAGACATCAATTGTATTCTCCTTGAAATGGATCCAGTTGACTACCCTCCATCCTTCAACAAGACAGACGGACCCTCGCATTGACTGCTGATGCAATCAGTCAATGCACCATCGCAACAACTGCGTACGTATCCTTAGCAGCAGAGTCTACTGCAAGCAATTCCATATCCCATCATTAAGCTGCACTAACTTTCGCAAAAACAACATCGAGCACCTTGACCGCCGTATCCACGATGATATCGATCTCCTCCTTGGAGATATTATACGGCGGCGCCAGAATGATATGGTCCCCTTTCCTACAATCCACCGTCCCGTTAGCAGCATACAACGACACCCCATACTCCGGTTTCAATCCGGTCTCTTGGATCAGAAACGCCACACCCTTGTCCGGACTGAATGGTTCTTTGGTCTCTTTGTCTTTCACGAATTCGATCTGCAGATACATGATATATTAGTCTTCACCCAAACCTCAGGTAAAGTAATGGTCGATAGAACTTTGGAATGAGAAGAATGACTTACACCCCAGAACAGCCCCTTCCCTCTGATATCGCCCACATACGGATGTTGCTCTAAGCTACCCCGCAACCTTTCTTCCAAGTACTTACCCATATTCCTGACATTCTCGAGCAGGTTATCCCGCTTGATGACTTTTTGCACGGCCAACGCGGCAGCACATGCGATAGGATGGCCTTGGTACGTTTGACCGTGCCGGAACACCCCCGTGCCTTTGTCGAGGGCTCCGACAACTTTCTCGCTGATGAGGATACCAGAGACGGGTGCGTATCCGCCTCCGAGTCCCTTGCCGATGGTTTGAATATCGGGAACTACGTCCTCTTGTTCCCAGGCGTGGAGGGTGCCACAGCGTCCCATGCCGCACATGATCTCGTCTAGGATGAAAAGCGCACCGTACTTTTCACAGATTGCTTTCATGGCGGGGAAGTAGCCTGGGAGGGCGGGAACGGCGCCTAGGGCCTGGTTTGATGGGTGCTTGCGTTAGTTGCTGAGCTTTTTGTGGAAGAGATGAGTCTGTTGAGAGATGCTTTCTTACCGCTCCTACAACTGGCTCTGCAATGAAGGCGCAGACATTCTCTGGTCCGACACGCTGGAATTCTGCGTCGAGCTCTGCTACTAGTCGGGCAACGTAATCCGCGTCGGACTCGCCCGCTTTCTTACCTCGGTAGGGGTAACAAGGCGAAACGTGGGCTGAGTTGGTTGCTAGGATGGGTTCAAAAGGCTCTCGACGGATCATGTGTCCGCCTACTGACAAGGCACCCAAGGTGACGCCATGGTAGGAGGGCTTCCGGGCAATGAACCTGGATCGCTGTAGTTGGGGGGTGGGTAGCTCGACGAAGTATTGACGAGCTAGTTTTAATGCAGCCTCCACAGCCTCAGAGCCTGGGATAATGTGAGTATTTCTCTGGCGATATCGTGCAGAGTAAGTGTGTTAACATACCGGAATTCACAACGAGCAACTTCGAGAGCTTGCCACCAGTCGACTCGGTAAGGAAGGTAGCAAGCTCTTCCGATGCTTCTGTCCCAAAGAATGCCGTATGGCAGTATGACAACTTGTTGATCTGGTCAATCACCGCTTGGCTGACCTCCTCATGGCCATGGCCTAGGCAGGATACGGCGGCACCACCGGTCGAGTCGAGGAACTTGGTGCCATCCTCGAGGAAGATGTAGCTGCCTTTACCGCCGATAGCTTTCTTGGGAACGAAGCGGGTATCACGGTGGAGGACGGAGCTATGGGTGACTGTCTCTGGCCTTTCGTGAGCTAGGAACAAGGGATTAAGATTGTCTGGTATACTACTAGTTAGAACGTACCTGACTTGGTCATGGTTGAACAGGATATAGATAGCCGTTTGAGTAGATCAAATGTATATTGAGTGCATAGAGCTGGATGAATCATTCTGGAGCCATGATTGCAGCATGATGCAGAGCTATTTATGCCTGCGATAAGCCCTGTCGACTGCTCCTTCTTCTTGATATCACGCAGTGACTCAAGATGTGGGGAGGAGCGGGGATGGAGTCCGGCGGGGAGCCGGCAACCCAATCCTGGGAAGCCGAGCGCATGGTTGGCCGTCTCCGCCGACGGGCCGATCTCCGACTTGATGGTGGTTATCGTGCTCGTTTGAGTCGTCCATCTCTCCATCATCTACTGCTGATGCGGAGATGAGTAATCTCCCTCGCTTATGGCAATGCTACATCTTGGCTTATTTATGATGGATCTTGAAGGGGACGCACTGCGACGACTTGTTGCTACACCATGCCTTCAAGTGGACATCAAGTATACGTTAATGCCATTGTCTATACATGTTGTGCTAGCTTATATATTATCAGATAAAACTTTGTTGGATATGTTAATCAGGATTCCATCGCTGGATAATCTATGGTTATGCTATTCTGGCTTGGCGCCCTATGTTGCCCTCAATGCTGAAGTCGACCCCTTTCTGGCATATCCTTTTCATCGTCAACCCTAATTAGTGTCCAGGCAGAACGGCGGGAGTCATGGAGGTAATAAGCTGGCCTAACACAATGTAACCCTTGAGCCCCGAAAGGCAATGTGGGATGTAAACCTAGCTCGGCGTGCAGGACCTATTAGAGCGACAATGTCAAGGCATGATCATGTGCATCAACTGCAGCAGACAAAGGTAAGGTTTATACGGTACATAATAGGCAGTTGCTCAGAAGCAAATCA